TATTAAAAAAATACATACATACACGTATATCGATTATTAAGCTATGACATACATAAAGCTCTCCATAATTTCTATTTAACTCAAACTCCCTCCAAGTCCCTTGATGAGGATCACACAAATATAAAAAAATAATAATTTTTCTGAGCAGTCGTCTATGTGCAGCCTCGAAAGTGTTAAGGGCCACAATGAGTGTCAGAGAGAAAAATAACGAAGCGTGTGGTCAGGTTGAGTCATCATCCAAAAATACTTTATTGATCATATAATACACTAAAGCACCGCATAGGTAAGGCATTTCCCAGCAGGGGAACACTAACTAGTTAGCAAAAATTCTAGTTAAATACTAGTATATTGAAGATGAAATCATACCAGTTCGTTATTTGTAAAGAAGTTCACCAATAATGGGAGAAATAACAATTTCCTCCACTGTTGTTGTTATATCGTCAGAGCGCGGCAAAATGACATTTACTGTTGCATCTTTATGATAGCCGAGTAGTTAGAGGCTATCGCTGTAGCGTATTAAGCCCCTGGTTCTAGTCCCGCTAGGGTCAAATGAATTTTTAAACTTTATTTTTTTAATATTTGGTGAAACATAATTTTTTAATTCTATTTTTTTCAGTTTTTCGTATGTTGTTTTTGTTTTTAGTAGGACGTGACCGAGTTTCATTTCCAAAAAAGTTCTGCTGAAGTGCGCTGATTTTGTTTCTCCATATATAACAACGAGAGTCTGGTGTTTAAAGGTCTCCACTGTGGTGTGCGAGGGTTTCGGTTCGATACTCGCAGCCGGCGATCTGAATTTAACTTGATTTAGTTTTTTTTTTTTTGAAGTAGAAATTCAACATGCCTAAACAAACTAGTATTAAACTAGTATGAAGCTGATGCATAGTAGAATAATTGTCAGCTCATAGGACATCGCCGTGTTAAAAATATCTGTTGCTTACATGGAAAATTAATTAAGATGAACCAGTTGCTGTGAAAATGTAAAATAGTTGAATTTTAGTTGGCAACTAGTATTTTCTCCTGCTGGGTGTTAGTGTAAATATTTTTCAGCTAAGCTTTTCATTAGTCAAAGTCTAAGCGAGCAATAAAGATAAATATTATACAAGAAAGTAAAGTAAAGGGAGAAAAAAGGAGTTGCTTTAAATTGTGATGACGCTAGATCGAAGGAATTTTGAAAAATAAGTATTCAGCTCTTATTTAGAGCTAAACTTTTGCTTTCTAGTACGCCACAAATATTCTGGTATACGTGAATAAAACTAATTTTAAGATTAATAATCATGTTTAGTCCGGACAAAAGGCAAAACGATTTTTTGATCTCTTCTTCGCCAAAATTACACATAAATAGATAAAAAAAAAGAATATCACTTTGAATAAAACTTCTAAATATGTGCACAATCAAAGAAGAGGTTGAAATCATTGCCCAAAAATACATAGCAAAACTGCACCATTATCTGAACCCTTTGGTTATCACCAGAGGGAACTTAGTACCCTTGAAAGAGCAACACTGAGCCAGCAGCCTATTCCTTGCCAACGGGGAATTATATTTTTATTTAGTTTTTTTTTTATATTTTAGTTTTAACTTATTGTGGGGCAATCGATACTGTTTTATTTCGTTTTTGAAAACTCTCTCTAAAAAATGTCGTCAGCTTAGATAGACTTTAAATGAAATGGAAACAATTCCAACAATCAACTTTTCACACAAATCCAATTTTTATGGTGCTTTCGTTACACTTCCCTCACTTAGGTTCACGTATAGTAGAAGGTAAAAATATTTTGAGGCTTCGTAAATAAACCTCAATAAAATGAATTTAAAATAAATTGTCTAAATTGTCTACAAATGGCCGTCTCTTAAATTTTTGCACACTCCAATTCATTTGAGGTAATTTTCGACCACTTTTTGCCACATATCGGGCAGTATCTTAGCCAGAATTTGCCGATTTTTGGCTTTCAAGTGCTCAATAGTTAAAGGTGTATCAGCGCATAAATGCGGTTTTCCGCAAAGCCTTACAGAAGAAAGTCCGACGGTGACAAAACTCCGTGACCGATTAATATCGCCAAGACGAGAGATTATGCGGCCGTGAAATTTCTCTCGCAATAGAGACATATTTGCTCGTATTGTGTGGCATGTGGGACACTATTTTGTTGAAACTACATGTTTTGCATGTCGGGTTCTTCATTTGCGGGGAAAAAAAGTTGGACCATAATGCTCTGAATTGAGTGGCTGTCTCGCCGTTGTCCTTTTCAAAGAAGTAAAGTTTAGACGCATCTCCGAACTAAGGAGCACACCTGCTTGTAAAATTTGTGTTATGTATTGGCCTCTGGTGGCCGCAGTAGCGGAGTTTGGTAGCGTTGCGCACTGACATTCGGTAGACCCGGCTTCACATTCCGGTGCCAGCAACAGCCAAATGTTGTGGAAAATTAATTCCAATAAAAAATAAGTTCAATTTTCTAATTTGCAGGGAATGTCCACACCTCCGAGTGTATTTTGGACATGAAATAAAGGCTCCTCATAAAAAACCATCAGCCGTTCGGAGGCGGCTTAGTATAAACTTTAGGTCTCTCCATTTGTTGGTAAAACATCAAAGCGCAAATTCAAAAATTGGAGGTGGAGCTCGGCCGAAAAATCCCTTCAAGGGTTGCAAAGTGCCAATTATCTATATATTTAATGGCCTGTGGTGATTTTAGAAATTTAATGTTGCTTAAAATCGAAAGTGTTACAACTTCTTGTCTTACCGTTATGGCTTAACAGAAATACTGTCTGCTGATTTCAGGCAGGACATGTCTCCTCGCATTAAATCAGCCAGCTTAATTAAGGAACCTTCGAGCTAGTTTATCTTCGAACGAGAGCCTAAAGCATACGATAGTTGAGATCGGTGAGCTGCTGTTTAATTTTTCAAAGCTTTTATGCTTAATCTTCAAGATCAGTTGTGGATTGAAGGTCTCTGATGCTGCAACTATCCATCCTACATACCTTCCATCCATAGCAATCTATCTTATGAGAGCGCCATGTAAATGAAAAGTTGTCACCACTTGCCGTTACTGCCGCTTGTCCCGCAGAAATTACCCGTGATTTTATATTCTATTACAGTCGGATGTTATAGCTGTGTGGCATGTGAGATGGATAGTTGCAGCAGAAGTCTTGCAGTACAGTTCCTCAACTATTACATGTCTGTCCAGAGCTTATTTAAGACCGAAGAGCGATTAGAAATCATTAAATGCTCCTAATCGCTGACAGTGGTTTTCAAGTTTCCGATGGTCCAAATTACACTCGGTTTCCCAGCTCAGATGGCACCAAAATCAAATGCTTCAAAAGTAAGTATTATAGCGGCCACCGGCATTCCTTTGTAATATAGTATATTAAACGATAAAATATTAGAAGTCTAGAAAACCGAGAGCAACAAATAATCGATTTACCTGCATTCCAGCAGCTAAACTCGCTACGCCATCAACACGAGCACCACAGACTTTGCAGTTAATCCTTGATGAATATGACGGCGGCGGCACGTAGAACATTAAATACAATAAATCTTTAAAAAGCCATGAACGGTGATGCTCACATACTCACTTGAATATACACGTATGTATGTGCGTATGTATGTGCGCATATCCACAAAATGTGGTAATGTAAAGCATGCAGCACGAAAGTCGGTTGAGGCATAAAGCATAATGCATGCGTTCCACCGCAGCGAGAGCCATCGCATACCGATCGCTAAAGGCAGATAAATAACTTACATACAATATTTCGGAGGTCATCCCCAAATGCCTGGCGGCGCGCGGTAGTACCAGCGTTGCTTGAGGTGATTTGTAGACACGGTGTTGCATTTCCTTGGTGCTTTTGTTGTTGTGCGGCAGCAGTGTATATCGTAAGACAAGCGATCAGCGAAACGAATGCAGCAAGTGTAAATTTGCGAGTTGCGACTACATTGAGTCAGGCGTAACTGAAATGCGGCGAAGCTCTAAATATAGTTAATGTCGGGAAGGCAAGTGCAGGCAACATTTTGTAGTATTTCGTTTTTTGTTTGTTGTTTTTTGTTTTTTTTTTTTTGCCTTTAGTGAAATTCGATTTATTTGCTCGTTAATTTAGTTGCACGTTAAGATTAATTAATTTTCAAGCCATTTAAAGTGAGCACAGCTACTAAAGGAAATACCTGTTGGCTCTGCTACAAGCGAAATTGATTGCAGTGTTAGCTGCTCACCCTGGTAATGCTGCTGCTGCTGCTCGGTCTTTCGCTAGTAGCATCCTTGCAATGTTGCACGCATGAAGACATCGTTTAATCGATTTTGTAGCATCTGTGCGCTTTGCCTTAATACCGAGGCATGTTTGCAGACCAAGTTTGTTGCTTAAGTCTTTCGTTCATCCGTATAATTGCCAGGCTTAACTGGCAAAGATACTCGCGTGAAAGTGACTGACTCCACATTAGGGTGATCTAGAGCTATTTTTTACATAACCAACAGACTTAAATTTATATGTATGTATGTATGACCAGAGTAACCGGACGGATAGTAGTGCGTGCTGGGTCTTGGGCAAGAATTCGGGAAAACATTAAAAAAAAATGCAATTGCGGTCACAGTCGGCAGAGAATTTTAACCCTCGGAGACAGTTTCAAAATCTGCAGGTCTCTGCATCTGTTAGCTAATCAGGGAGTGGCTATAATTTCATTTTCGTATTAAAACAACGAAAAATTCTTAAAACGTTTCAAAACTTCATTTAATAAATTTAATAAAAATCAGCTGTAGAGTCAATTCATATACAAAATTTTTTTTTTTTTTAAGCAGCATAACTTTTTTCATTTTGTTAAATCTAAATTTGAATAAATTATAAATGAAATTTCATTTTAATAAATAAAAAATATTTAAAGTAAGTATTTCGTAGCTGTTTAAAAAAATAATATTAACTGTTCCACATAGAAATTTTGAGTTATACAACTTTTCGAACACCTTAGCGTGCATTAATAACAATATTTTAATTTAATTTTTTTTACTTAATTTTTTCCTTGCTTCAGATGTCGTCAGGGCTGGCGTGGACCACTATGCAATGAGTGTATGGTGTATCCTGGTTGCAAGCACGGATCGTGTAATGGCAGCGCCTGGAAATGCGTGTGCGATACCAATTGGGGTGGCATACTCTGCGATCAAGGTGAGTAAACTATTATTTATACATACATACATACATATTGTACATACCGACATAGGCAGTATACCAAATGTCATGTGATGCATGTGTTTGCTACTAAAACGTAAATTGCCTTAGTCGCCAGTAGTATATTGTAGAAATCAATGCATGCAACTCGCCAGTAATGCATTCAATTGGATGAAAATCCATCTAGATTGCAGCATAGAATTTAAAAACAGAAGAAAAAATAAATAATAATAATCGTATTACTGTTGATAGCATAGGGAAGCGGCAAACAGTCGGCAGAACAAGTTATGGCAAATCGGTCGTTTTGGCCGTGGCAATAACGCATGTTTGCTGCCTATGTTGCATGCGCTGCATACGTTGGGGCAAATGCCAGCCAGCTGTGCTGCATCCATATACATATTGTACATAGATATGTGTATGCATGCATGTGTTCAAGGATTTTCCATACAATTTAATATATCGTTCAGTGTCTGCATACACATGTACTCTAGCTGATGCTGTTGAATTTGCAGTTGTTGTTGTTCTCTCGTTATTACATTTTCTTCATTCTTAATTTATTTATTTTCTTTACTCTTGCATTTGGTTATATTTTTCATACTTTTTTTCCATTGCTTTAGATTTGAATTACTGTGGCACTCATGAACCCTGCATGCACGGCGGTACCTGTGAGAATACCGCACCTGATAAATATCGCTGCACTTGCGCCGAGGGTCTGTCCGGTGAACGTTGTGAAATTGTGGAGCATCCATGTGCAACGCAACCGTGCAAAAATGGTGGAACTTGTGCGCTCAAAGTAAGTTTTGAACAAAAAATTAATACAATAAATAAAAAGGCATTGATTAGAATCGGAAATATGTTAGTTAAGGTAATATTAGGAAATTTGTCCCTTAAAGGATATTAATTCATTTCGCACGGCGGACTTTTTAAATTAATTTGTATCGTTAAGCGGAAATATTTTCAACTAGAATTCAATGCAACCTCGTGCGCACGGATTTTAAACTGCATTTAATAAAGTTTTAAGTTCATTTTCAATAATTTTTAATTTATAACAATAAACAAATAATTAAATGAATTTGATACTTTTTGACAGTTTAGGGGTCACACCTAGTGTAATGGCCTAAGAAAAAGGTGATTTCTGGGAATTTTTATTAAAAAAAATACTTTATCAATTATTTCAAAATTTTAAGAATATATTTATACATGTTTTAAGAATATACAACGAAATTTTTGAAGAAAAAAATTAAATATTTATTAAGTTATAGTCGCTCTCCAACGACACGAGAAAAAGGTCCTTCACTGCTGCAGTGATTCCGGCCTTCTCCATGGATGAAATCTGAAAAAAAATCTCATTAAACTAGGTAATATTGTCTGTACAATGACCTACGACAAAAAAAATCAAAAATTGACAATATGGCGGCGTTTTCAAAAGAAAAAATAGTCAAATTTTACCCTAAATTTTGGTCGTTTTTGGCCTGCCAAAATTCGATTTTTTTAACAGATCAAAAATCGATAGGTCATTGTACGGAGTACTATATATAGAACATGTAAAAAAATTCGATAGTGATCGGATCATTTGCTTTTGAGTAATCACTGCAGCGAGTTCGGAAAATGCTAATTCGAAAAAACGCGTTTAAAGATAAAATGATCGTTTTCACTCGCAGCTAATGAGACTCTCTAGCTGCCGAGCGGCTGTTCTTTAAATTGCTATAACTCAAAAACTATTTGAGATATCGATTTGAATTTAATATGTTATTTTCAAAGGTGTATTCTACCAAAATAAGAAAAAAAGAAGATTCGAAATTTCACACTAGGTGTGCCCCTTGAGCCCTTAAGAAAACGAAGTCCCATTTCTATCGCAATATTCCATTATAGACAATATTTTTTATTTTTCCGTGGGCCGCTTGAATCACAATCCCACCTATAACTGGTTATGGAACGCCTGCTAAGAGTTTGACACCTTGAGCTTTGTTTAGCCTTAGTTCGGAATTGAAAATTACTCGATTACATTTCAGGGCAATTTTTTCACCAGTAATCTTGTACCATTGCATAATTTTTGGTGGGTCTAAAATGCGCAGTAACTTAAATTTAATATGCAAGCCGTGAAACCGGAAGGCTTTAGTGTATTCAGGGTACTCTACTAGATAATGAATGGCATCGTGGGTGAATGCTGAAATTCGCCTGTTCATAATGCTGCTATTCAGTTCCGGGAAATCACCATTTCCTGTCTTCAGAGCAACATCTCCTCTAAAAATGGACTCTATGCCATAAATGAGTTCGCTGCACGCATGCTTCAACTTCATTCCAAACCCTATATGTCATATATCGAAAGCATATATGGTGTAATAGATATGTCACTATTCATTTGTTTGAGAGCCTTCACCACTTTACACCATTTTTGCCAATGAATTGATATTGCAACTCTCCTTAATGGGTTTTCGTTTCGAATAGATCGGTCCCAGACCTACTTTCCGGGAGAATAATAGTACGCAATGGTCAGTTGGGCTCAAAACTACTACTCTTCCATAAATACAATATAAATTACAAATTTTTGATTAGACCGGTCTCGGATCTATTTCCCGGAAGAACACATTTAATTTCCACATATCAATTTGGGTAGTGAAGTAGAATTTCAACATGCCGAAAGGTACTGGTATACAACTAGTATAGAGCTGATTCACACTGGGGCAATGGACAGCTCGAAGAACTATTGGCAGTCGGCAAAAAACTTTCCACTTAAGAAATCTAATGGAACTTCAGATCCATCGCCCTAATTTCTTTCATAAGTGTTCCTGCTGGTGAATCGATACCAATCCGGCTTTAGATCTAACAGCCGTTGTATAGCGGTGGATGTAAGGATATCGGCTGACAGCAAGCTTAGCATAGGTGAACTGATAGCTTTTAAACTTAACACCTTGTTTTGTTTCTCATCGGCGCCAAAATACTATAAATATCATATCTCAGTGGATTAGTGGCTAGGATTTTAGATCCTGTAAGGTGAACTGACATCATTACTTTTTTTGCTGTTTTTTTGTTGCTTATGTTTAATGGGTGGGTTTTCTACTGCAAGCTCTATACCATATAGAAGCAAGATTCATCATCAGTAACGACTTTAATAAAGTTACTAGACTGACAATTTGTTTAAGAAAAATTGAGCAAAATGTACTCGAGCCTCCTTTTGGGCTTCATTTAAAATTCGTGGCACCAGATAATGTGATATCGCAGATTATTACGTAATATTCACGATACAGCCATGGCATTCAAGCTCAATTTAGTAGCATACATTTCCTGTGTCAATCGTGGGTCTTCGTTAATTACAGACTTCACCAGAGCTACAGAGACGCTTTCGGTGGAAAATTTTATTTGACCTTCTCGGAACTCATCCTCTACGGAAAAATGTCCGATCTGGTATTTTCGGAACTACTTAGAAATAGTCTTTATTGACTGTACAATCGTTTCATATGCAATTTGGCTTTCACTAAATATTTGTACTGACTGTAAATTACGCCGAAATCCGAAGAGAACCACATGGCGAATTTCTGTTTGCGTTGGTGGTGGAACTTCGCCTGAACTATCCATAGCTATCTTGGGGTTTCTCGTCTCCATTTTAGCCGTTCGTTCTAAAATTTGAAAGGACGACTAATAAAGTAATTGCAAATTCGGTATTTTTAGATTTAACAAAAGTAAATTGAATGTCGCCACTGGTACAGAAGAAGAAATGCCATTGATAATAGAAAACAATACCAGCCAAGTGCCTTCAATAGCTTAATGAATTTTATCTAAGAGGTATTTAATCGAGTTTGGGCTGTTAGCGTAGACGTTATCTTTCCCGTGGCTCCAAAGAAAGTTGTCGTAAGGCGTTAATTCATAAAAATCTCGGCTTCCAATTACGATCACCTCTTCCATCTCCGCCATAGAAATTCTTTAATCATCGCTGGATGGCGTAGTTTTTACTTGTCATCTACCAAGAGAGCAGGCTATTCAAATTATCACTCTTTCTAATATATTTTTTTTGCTATTAGAACTAAAGGGTCATTATGTGGACTCTCCAATAGCTTAATTAATTAGAATTAGAACTTAACGGTGTAGCAGATAAATTAGATTAATCGAAATTTGATTAATTTGTAATTTGGATTCTTTCGATGAATTTAAGTTTTAAGGCCTAATGATTCGCTGCAAAATCAAACGACATGTCGGACGTTTAGTATTAATGCTTATTTATACGTTGTCATGCAGTTTATTACGATTTGCTTTATGCTCATTTACTGCATTTGACCAATACTTAATAACAATTTTTCTTGTTTTTTTTTTCTTTTTATTTCTCTCTTTTCTCCCTCTACCTTTCTTGTGATTTTGCTGTCATACCGTGCCATGGAATTTCATGCCTGAACTATACACTATATCATCATCAACAATAACAACAACACAACTCAACTGCATTGCAACTGAAATCATACAGGAATCAACACTACCCAATATAACCACGTTGCCGACATATCGTGCGATGCGCGGCATGAGTTCAGCAATGGGGAAACCAGTTAGTCGACGTGATTCATTGTTAGGACTGGCAGGATTAAGCGGCAGCGGTGCAGCCGCCGTAACAACGATACCCACCTTAGCTGGTGCTGGTGCTAGTGCTGGTGCTGGTGGTGGTGCAGGTGGTCCAGGAAGCAGCGGCGGCAATACGAGTGATGGTCGCGGCAATAGCACGAGCGCCATGAGTGCACTTGCTGCGGCTGCCAAACTGCTGCCAGGCGGTGGTGGAGGTGTTACCAATACACTGAGGGCCACATCTATGCTCATGCAATTGCAACAACTACACAACAACAACGCCGATGGTGGCAATAGCAACACGGGCACGAGCAATCTGCTACATACGCATCATTCGATCGGCCATCGACCGCAACAGATACCACCAGTTGGGGAATATACGTGCGCATGTACGCCCGGCTGGACGGGGCCATCATGTGAAATCAGTAAGTATAAGCTTGTGGATATGAACAACGGCGGCTAGGAGATCAGTGTTATGCGCACAAGCGTTGCCAACATTACTTTGATTTATGTTTCATACATTTATTCGTGTAGATGCTTACCATCTTTTTTTCTGTTTCGCTTTGTTTTTTTATTTTTTATTATTTTTTATTTTTTCTTTGCTTTGTTACTCTTGTTGCGGCTTAGCCGAGTTATTTTCTGCCGATTAAATTGCATCTATTAGTCGCTATGACTTTAACGATCGTATAGCGAGCAGAGCGATCGAACGAATAATCTGCGTCTTCTGACGGTAATTGGAAAAATGCATAAAAAGTTGAGCGCAAACAAAAACCACTGTTAACATACTTTCGTCGTCTGTGCGCATACGAAATGAAATAGATGAAATGAATGCGCAGGAAAATGGCATTAAATGAAAAGCGCATAATTGCGTTCCCAAGAAGTAGTGCAATTTGTAGCACAATCAATCCGGCATAGTTTCTGCAACGCCTAATAGCACACCCGATGATTTAATTCAAGTGCAGCGCCTTAATTATGCAAAGCTTAAATACATTAATCAGGCCAACTGCTTTTCGACTGAGCGCAACTCAAAAAAAAAAATTAAAACTTAATTTAAATTAGTAATAATTTATTATTACAAAATTATGTTTCCTTTCACCACCAAACCTAACTTATAGGCATTCAAGACTCGTGTTTTTTGTAGATTAATTTAGACTCGTTACCGTTATATACGAAGCATAATTTAACGCTTTAATTTCTCTCCTCGTTCTCTAGTGTTGCTAGTTTTATTGCCTATCGATTTTTTATTACTTTTCGAAAGCCACAAAATAGCTTAATTAAGGAAGAATTAAGCAACAAATATGTTAAAATGAAATGTAAAAGAAAATTTAAAATTTATTCGCGCTCACACTAGTGAAAGCAATGAAAAATTACGCATGAAACTTATTACTGTAAACACCCCCATTACCCCCTTATTTGGTCTAGTAAAAATTCCCTCCAAGTTGGCACTGAGCTGCACGTGAAAATCTGAACTGAAAATACATAAATATGCACACACACACACTCATAAGTAAAATAAGAAAACAAAAATGCAAAAAAAAAATGAACTGCTCATTGCCACTTATGCCTAATTGCCCGGCTAATATGGTGCGCAAGCGCAAGTTCGTCAAGACCACAAGTACGAGTACAAGCGACCGGTATGACATTCGCACATTTGACTTTATCCCACCGTCACTTGAGCTGAGCTAGAACAAATAACAAACAACTCTTGTGTTTGTTTTCTATTACTTCTTCATATATTTACACACATATCTGAAAAGAAAAACCAAGCAACGTACATGTTGTCAGCAGTCTGAGAGCAATGCTTCACTTCATCACAAGCAAGCTGCAATTATTCACTAGATGAATCTTAAGAAATTTCGTATGTTTAGCATTTTTGTCACGCTGCAGTGCAATAACTTAAAAGATATTAAAAACGCACTTAGAGGTGTGATATCTTGCATTGTGATGAGAGGAAATTTGCATAATTTATATATACACAATTTATTTATATTAATAACATTGCAATGCGCTGCATATTTTGTTTAACTCTGTATCCTTTTCTATTACGTAAAAAAATTTTGACCGTGCAATATTTTATTTTGTGCTCTAAGCACATGAACAGGAACGTGACGAGTTGAAAGAAACAGAATGATGTCTAACTCATTGTGTATGTATGTATATGTATATGTGAAATTCTAATGTTTTAACCTTTATTGATAAAAGTAAAAATGTAAGAAAAATTAAAATTACCGAATAACCATCGCCATTTGCAGAATATGCTTTATTTAACACCAATAGATTATTTCTCTAAATTGTTGCACAGAATGGAAATTTCGGCACGTTTTAAGGGGTTACATAGGTATTGAAGGCAAAACAAAAACTTAATTTCTCCAATTTTTTTTAAAGATACTAAATAAAGTATACAATTTATTTTATTACCATATAAAAGTAAAATATGTGGACAACATTTGATGAAGATTTGAATGAAAAATAATTTAAGTTAAGGCGTCGGCAGTGTCATGAAGTAGAGCGTCCACAAGAAAGTGCTTTTGCGGTAGTCATGATAACTCTTTCAATTTTTATCTGAACACAAACACCCAATTTTTTTCTTACAGTAGGTGAATTTTCTTTGTCCCTGAACGAAGAAAAAGTAAAAAAATTAAAAAATTTAAAAACGTCATTTTTTGCATAAAATTAGGCTTGCAAAATGACTTAAAATCGAAGATAAAATAAATCCTTCGTGCAAGGACTACAAAAACATGCTCAAAAGAAGTGTGGAAAATTTGAACTCGATCGCTTCAATAGTCGTTGAGAAATTTTGACTGACGGTTTCGCTTAAATAAACTTAAGAAAAACGCGTTTCAAGTTCCTCCATCCGTCAAGCCATGACAAAAACGGCGGGTTATAAAGCTCTTTAATTCTACAGTTTCGGCTCGATTCACTTGAAACTTGGGGAAAATATTCCTGACACTTTGTACTTTTATACAAAAAATTGTCAAAAAAATTAATATTTTGAAGTTTCAAGACCCCTTAAGCCCAATTTTAGATCGGAGTTAAACATTCCACGAATAATTGACAGCAGTTCTTCATATTCTTTATCTTTTCAAAATTATATCGGACAACTGCTTTTAACCTCACGCGAAATCACTATGTAGTAAAAAGGAATCTATTATTTTTGGATGAAAGTGTTTACATGTCGGTCGCACTCAAAAATGTCCCTGATTTTATCGACATTTTCGACAATTGGACTTTCACACCACAAAGCATTTTTGACATCAAGATTACCAAAATGAAACTGAAATTGTGCATGATTGACTGTAGCAGTATCAGGATCATAAACGGTTTTCAGATTTTCAGACGCCTGGCCTGCGCTTTCGCCCTTATTGAAGAGAAACTTATCTTTGTTAGTGTCCATCTTTGACGCACTCTCAAACAAAATCAACTTATCACAAAACTGTCCGAAAAGCCTTTTCAGTAGAAAGTATCATCTTTCTGACGCTATCATGCGGAGCCCGATCGGACTTACATAATGGGAGATACGGATAAATAACGCCATCTTGTGGTGTATATGTAAATGTAAGAAAAAATAGATACATACATCATACATATGTTTTATTGTAATTAAAATAAGTTAAATTTTTTACCAATTTCCATTTGCTAAGTTCCAGTGAAGAGATATTTCAAATATTGCCAAATAACCAAAAATCTAAAGGGGTTAAGGCAAATTCGAAGGAAAATAAAAACAATTTAACACTGAACTCGAAAGTGCGACGCAAAGTATTTTCGAAGCAAACTTCTTCTTCATCATTCTCGTTGGCTTACGCTATTAATGCCGAATCAACAATAGTGCGACGCGTCGTTCGATTATTTTCTTTGTTGTTTGGCGCCAGTTGGAAATACCGAGTGAAATCAGGTTGTTCTCCACCAGATTCTTCCAACGGATTGGATGTATTCCTCTTCGTCTGATTCCACCAGTGGGTATTGCATTGAATATTTTCAAAGCTGGAGTGCTTTAATCCATTCGTACGACATACCTACCCAGCGATTGCTCTATTCGCCGTTTTCAAGGCACAAAGAATCATAAATCGTTCGCAAAACTTTCCTCTCGAAGACTCCCAGGGCCGACTCAACCGATGTGGACAGCCTTCAGGCTTCTGAACCATATAGTAGAACAGGAACGATGAGTCATTTGTGGAGTTTAGTTTTAGTTCATCGAGAGAGTACTCAACACCCCAATTGTTTACCCAGTCCCAAGGAGCAGCTGTTGACAAGTGTGATTCTGTGTTAGATTTCAAGGCAGAGATTATGATTGGTACTGGTGCAGCTCCCTAGGTAGAAAAAATTATCTACGACTTCGAAATTACGGCTGTTGAAGCCAATGATGTCAATATCATCGACTAATTCCAGCAGCTGTAAAATCTTGGATGAAGATTATACCTTCTCTATTTAGCTCTGCAGCTCTTATTATTTTCTCGACAAATAAATTAAAGAAATCCGACGATTGTGAATCTTCTTCTCTGAAACCTAGTTTGGTAACGTACGGAGAGATGGACCACGATTCTGATGAAGCTTTTGGTGTTGTCTAGCGTTAGTTTACTCAGCCGTATAAGTTTTGCAGGAATATCAAATACAGACATAGCGGCAGCTCTTTACAGTACTGTGGAAGATTGTTTTTTAATCCATGAAATGGTGATGTGTATCGATTCTTTTCTCAAGGGTATTTTCCAACATTTTCGCATGATGAATATACAGTCAATGGTAGACTTTGTCACATGGTGAATATCTGGTCAATGATCATTGGAAAAAAGCTTCAAGCATTATATTTTAAATTGCTGACGAAATTTGAAAACAAAAAAATGCTAAGGGGGAGATTACTATAATTTTAGTCTATATTGAAAGAAATTTTAAAGTTTTTGATTTTAGATTCGCCTTTGCATCTATTTTTCATACAAATATAAAGTAGCTCGAACTGTTCAACTAAAACATTTCGTTTTTTTTTTTTTAATTAACCAGAGAACTTAAAATAACGAGAAAGTGCGAATTCATTGCATAATCGAACCTGTTTCAAACTATTAGTGAAAAACTTTGTGAAATGGATGAACCACACCGGCAAAGGTATTCACCATAGCTAAAATAACAGCCACTGTTATAAATAGTTAGCAGAGTTTGCAAGGGATTTTCTGCTAAAATCAGGGAAATCGTAATATATTATAAGTTCTCTGGTAAACTCAGGCTACATCAAAGTGTTTTTTTTTTGTTTGTTCTTTTTTTGTTGCTTGTAACAAACATCAAAAATCACGTAAAAATGAAACGTGTTGTGAAACGGCAAAGTTGTTTAGCTTTTAAAACGATTTGTAAGCATTACAAGTAGAGTGACTTGAAGCCTAAAGTAAATGAAAGAGGTTACTACGTACATTCATTTGTAAATACATATAACATAAACAACATTTTTGTTGTAGCAACTCGAAGACCTGAAGCGCACGCAATATTACAGTAAAGTATGTGGGACTAAAGCTCATCGCATTGCCATTGCTGCTTGCCTAAAGCAAACACTAAAACTTTTTGTGTACACTTATGACAAATGAGGGAATCTTGTCAAGAAGGTGTTAAAAGCATTTCTGCTTTATTCTTCATACTCTTTGTTTTTCATTTTATTAGCCTTGTTGGTGTTGTTTTTGTTGGCAATATTATGGAGTGTGTTTGGTGGTAAATGTATGAATTTTGATTTTTTTTTTTCTTTTCTTATTTTATTTGCAATTTATTTGTGTACACAGCATGTTTTACAGAGGATTTCTTTGGTGATTCATTACTTCGTAGTTACAGCAACTTTTCAAATATTCACATATTTCATGCCACATTTACTACCAAGCATTTACATTTCTTTATTACACAGAGCAAGCCGCTCGCTTGCCGTTTGCCGTTTGTCGCTTATAAGTTTTAGTAAGTGGCATTTAATGAGTATGTAAATGAAAAAAATAGAAAAAAATCTTCTCTTTTTTCTCTTACCGACAGCATAATGTCAAGAGGTTTGGCAAACAAAGGAAATTAGATGCCAGAAATCTGGCTAATGGTCTTGTTTAGTTGGTGTGAGCAAAAATTGAATTTTATTAAATTTACAATTCATATAAGAATTGCTACTAATAAATTGCACAAATAAAATTAGAATATGGGATTTTATGCTAGACTCTTTGCGCTCTTGAACATCAAATATAATTTCTAACAAAATATTTTTATATACAAAATTGAATGATTATTCCTAACCATTCGCAACCCTTATGAACGGCTCAATGAATTTACGTAATTTTCGTGCTGCAGGGTTCTCTATTTTGTATTTTCAAAATAAAACATAGCTAAAATGAATTTAAAATATTTTGTTTTATGAAATTTCTTTTTTACATTAAAGTTTCAATATGAATTTTCGTAATTTTCACACCACTCTTTAATTACTCGAGAGCTCTCAGAGCCCTTATGATGCAATTTTGCTATTTTTACATATCTCGTATCTCGATTGGAAAATATGCCTCGTCCCTGAAGAAAATTCTCTACGAAAAATCGCCGTCCACTGCTTGTTGTTTAAGTAGCCAATCGACATATATGTGGCTTCGTGAATGGTTAGCTAAGTTCAGTTCTTATGTGAAGTGGACTTTATATGGATTTAGATGTGCGATAAGAAAGTACCAGCTCTTGAGAACGTCGGGAAATTGGTACATTCAGGTCTTTGGCTAAACCTTCTTTTCTAATTGCGGTGGCCCCTCAGCAGGGAATGTCCACCCCTCCGAGTGTATTTCGGACATGAAATAAAGTCACCTCGTAAAAAAAACCATCAGTCGTTCGGAGGCGGCTTAGTATAAATTGTAGGTCCCTCCATTTTTTGGAAAAAATCAAGACGCAATACCAAATATTGGAGGAGGAGCTCGGCCGAAAAAATGGCTTCAGTGGTTACAAAGCGTCAATTATATATATATATATATATATAGCCTCCTCTTAAAGCATGAAATCACCATTTTTTTTAACGCGTTACGCGGTTGCTAAGCTACCCATTAAACCTAAATGCCTGTCTTTTAACTAAAACGAAACCTGTTTGGTTTAATAGTTAAGTTTGACACATATCAAAATACAGCACTGTAATGAACACTGGTACAGAAAAATTTAAAAAATAATTATGTTATAAAGGAGTTTCCAATAATACACGAAAAAGTAAGGTTCAATGACCCCGAGTGATCATTAACCGAATAAAACAGTTACACATTGAGGATGGAGTGGCTTTTCAACACAAAATGTTAAGTTCTCCAAGACCCATATGAGACAGTTTCTCTTATTGACATAGCCGTCGAGGTGGAAATGGGTCTCATCAATCAATATGATTTTTCGATGAAATTTTTGTAGCGAATTGTAATAATGTCTCGTTCTAATTTTATTTTATACTTACTTTAATACTTTTCAAATATCAAAAAATTACAGCTTCAAAAGTGACATCTACCGTCTATTCAAAATAACGCCTCCTTTTAGGAAATCCTTTACATCTGGGATACTCATAACAAAGACGATTAAGAAAACTTGCGTTAAAACGGGTGTGCTATGAAAAATTGGACGTATTAAAATTTTTATAAAAAAAAAATGGCTGATAAATAATTTTCAATAATTTTTATAGAAATAGTCATTTCGTTTTTTCGCTACACCACTACACTATCGTTGCTAGCCTTGCCGTTGCTTTACTGTACTGTCTATTGGCAACACAATGTCGATTAAGTGAACGCAAAAATAAAAATAAAAATTTAAATATCTTCAGAGGCCTAATCCGAACACGATTTATGATTGAAATTATTCTTATAGGTCGGAGAATAAAATTGTAAAAATTTTTTTCAGTGGTAGCTTAATCAGTACTTTACCCGGCATTTCAAAAATTCAAATCAAAATGAAACAACAAATAAACAAAAATATATGTGCCTGACTTTCAAGTACATATATTCATAAAATAAGATTAATAATTTATAATATTAATGTATGTATGTAGCTAGTTTTGACTAGAACAACTTCTGCCTTAAATGTATAAATAAAAATACAAATAGTTCATTTTAAAGGTTTTCATTTATTTTATTTTATTTTATTTTTATTCGTTTCTTTATTTAATTTTTTTTTTTTGTAACTCTCTTCTTAAATCTTTTTCTTAATATTTACCGCGAATTTGGGTGAATTCCAACAAAAATTTGCCTATCAGAAAACTAAATCAGTGAGCATATCTTTTTTAATTGTGTAATATCACATAGAGTGGGATATATACATATCTGTACATATGTGAAGTGAAAAACGCCTACTAAAAACCGTAAAACCGAAACCAAATTGAGATAAGAATAAGACCAACAACACTTGAATGGTGAAAATAAATAAATAGTAGCGCAAATGCAAACATTCGATTTCCAACAATAGATAAAACTGTCTCGCTGCCAAGAATCTTAAGTACTTGTAAACATAACAATATTCACGGTATGTGCTGTACATATTATGTACATACATACATATGTGCATATGTTGCTGAGTTGTGTGTATAGGAATGTACTTGATTTGCAGCTTCCTTGCTGATACTGCTTAGATGCCTCGTCTGCAACATCATTCACCCATCACCCAAGCGAGGCATTGAGCATAGTTTCGTCCAGCTTCTGGTCATGTAAGACACATATGTACCTACATAGCCGTGTGTGTGCATATGTGTATGTATACATATGTTGTCGTACAAGTGTCCAACAACAGTTGTAACAGCAACAAAGCAACAATGCAACAGAGCACGAAATTAATAGATGATGTTGTATCTGCTATTTGAATCAAATGAATACCACAATTGTTTGTTTAGAAAAATCTCAACTCATTCCTTACTTTATTTCTCTAATTTATACCACTTCTCTCTCCTTCACCTCTTCTCCTGCTGCAACCGAACAACAGATATTGACGAGTGTGCTGGCGGTCCCTGCGAACACGGTGGCACTTGCATCGATCTAATCGGCGGCTTTCGCTGTGAATGTCCTCCCGAGTGGACAGGCGATGTATGTCAAATTGATGTAAATGAATGCGAAGCCCACTACACGACCATCAACAACAACAACAACAACAACAACCGCAACCACAATCACAATCACAACCACAACCACAAACAGCACATGAACAATGGCGCTGACACAACGTTAGCTGATGCGATTTCATCGGCAACCTCTTCAGCGGCGCTGATTGCCGCCATAAGCGCTGCGTCATCGTCCACAGCAGCAACGGCTGCCGCTAAGGCCGCCCTGCAATCGCAAGCGGCATCTGCGGCCAATGCTACGGTTATAAGAGTAAGTGGCTCACCGGGTAACCATCCAACCGGCACCGTGGGTCCCTGTATAAATGCTCAACAATGTGTCAATCTTCCCGGTTCTTTCTCTTGTGTCTGTCTCGAGGGTTGGGGTGGACCCACATGCGCGCAAAACATCGACGATTGTGTGGGTCAATGTAAAAATGGTGCGACCTGCATTGATTTGGTAAATGACTACCATTGCGCATGCGCGACTGGATTTACGGGTGAGTGGTATTTTGATATTTCTAAAAAGAAAAACAAAAAAAAAGAACAAAACTGATATCTTCATAATTTAATAAAGTCTATTTAATGTAGTAAATTACTTTAAAATTCCAATGTTTTAAGCAAACGCCTTCGGCCACATTCATTTTATGAATGACTCTGCACAGCAATAGCGTTACTTTAGCGATTGTCTTTACGGTTTGTTAGTATAATTTGGAATGCTTTCAATTTTTGTCGGCCGTATTAGTTATAAATATATGTTTGTATATATAAATGTTTACATATTTTATTAATTTTTTTAGGTCGCGACTGTGAGACCGACATAGATGAATGCGCTAACTCGCCGTGTCGTAATGGTGGTGAATGCGTGGACTTGATTGGCAAATTTAAATGTATCTGTCCGCTGGGTTACTCTGGATCGTTATGCGAGGTAAATAAATTTATTTTGTTACATTTTTGTGAATAAACTATTTTAGTTATGAAATGGTAAATGTGTCGCTTTCATAAATAAAAATTGAGTTTAAGGACGCAAGTACGCAGTTGCAAAGAATAAGTTGAACAAATAAAATATATCGCGTTCTTTCTCCCTTCTTCTTACAATTCGGCACTAAGAGATGCTCATTAATTTGAGCAAATCGAAGGAACTCGATCTTTGCTACTGGCAAAAATATATTTGTATATGTCCCTTAAATTCATGAAACTCCAGCGTACGTTTAAATCGCTTAGTTAGTATTGTATATTAGGGGGCACTCCTGTGTAATGGCCTAAAAAAAGGTGATTTTGGGAAATATTATTAAAAAAAATACTTTAGCAGTTATATCAAAATTTTAAGAATATATTTATTCATGTCAAAAAAGTCAAAAAACAATATGGGGGGGGGGGGTAAAAAAAAGTCGAATTTTACCCGAAATTTTGGCCGTTTTTGGCCTGCCAAAATTCGATTTTTTGATCAGATCAAATGGCCGTCACGGCTTACAGAAGTATCTCTTTTAATGACGGCTTCACGAATTCTATCTTTGACATCTTGAATTGGCAATTCAAGATGGATGGTTTGAGCAGACCTTAGCTCTTACGCAGCTCCAAAGGAAGAAGCCGCAAGTAGTTAAATCACAAGATTTCGGCGGCCAATTGCGATCACCTCTTCGAGAGATATCACGGTCCGGAACCGTTGCTCTTAAAACATCGACAGTTTCATTGCCCAAATCAATACATTCCAATTCAGGCTATAAAAAATCATTAATCCTGGTAACGCAAGCTTTTCCCCGTAAGGTCAAATGACTCAGTCGTATCATAAACAGCACCAAACAGTCACACATTGAGAATGGAGAAGCATTTGAAGAATAATTCTTGCATTTTCTGAGTCCAGATGCGACAGTTTTGCTCATTGACGTAGCCATCGAGGTGGACACGGGCCTAATTAGTCAACACAATTTTTCTATGAAATTCCGGATCAATTTCATGCACTTCATGGAAACAATTAGCAAAGACACGACGTTGTTGATGATCGGCCGGCTTCAATTTTTGTGTAAACGGAACCTTATAATCCTTAATATCCAAGTCTTTATACAAAATACGGTGTAATGATATTTATGGAATGCCCAATTCTAAAGAACGCCGAGAAATGGACAATCCTGGGATTTCTTCAAACATTGGGCACCAGCAGCAACATTCTTAGTTCTTCTTGAGTTGGATGCACGAGTTTTATTCTTCCCATCACTAACTTGTCCCAAAAAGACCATATTTTTCACAAATTTTCACAATGCGGCGCGAAAAGGTGCTTCACTACGACCGAAAAATGTTTTAGTTTTACGAACCATCTCTGTCTGGTTTTACAGCTTCAAAAGTGGCATCTACCGTAATAGCAGGCTATTCAAAAAGACCTCTTATTGGGAAACCCTTGAGTACATTTAAAATCTCGCTGTTAGTGTTTTATCACCGCAAGTACGCTACTGCATCAACGTGGCCGCTTTGCTTTTAGTATGAAAATATTTTTTGTAAAATTTTATTTTAGCTCTTTATATGTACAGGGTGCTTCAACTTTTAGTTCGGTATGAAAACATTGAATAACTTTGAGAACAAACAACCGATTTCTATAAGTGATTTATTTTTATTCAGTTAGGTTCCTTACAATTTTTTCGGACTAGTTTTTGAAAACAATTTGAATCATGTGGCTAGAGACTCCTCTTTTCTGCAATTACCATTATCTTTCCGCGCAACTCGGCTGTTATAGCGTCGATTTCAGCACCTTGCTTTTCAGATAACCCACAAGAAGAAGTCTGGGGGGGTTAAATCAGGTTATCTGGGTGGCCAATCAATATGATTTTCGATATGCACGTTGAGTTAACACAATGGAACTACTGTTATCGATGTAAAGTGTCGCTATTTCAGCGCCTCGTTTCGAAGTGAAGCCGATCCATGGCCAAAATTGTACTGAGTTGACGTTTCCAAAACATATCTGATGCAATCGCTCGGTTGGTGAATGTGAAATTTATTCAGCGTTTACATACCGACCTAAAAGAAGGAGCACCCTGTACAAACATTTTTCTGCTGTAATCTATCGTCTTCTTCAATCAATGTTGTCCATCAACACTTCAAACAAACAAATTCTTAATGAAGTATTCCAAATGAAATAATGTTTTTCTTTTTCAAAGCCCAAAACTCAGCGTGGTGTAGCTCTCTCTCATACAACAACTAAACAAATGAACGAGCCAATTTATTTATTAATTGTGAATTTACACATTTTATTGATTACATACTTAAAAGTACTTAACGGCTTTAATTTGTTGTTCCATTTGTCTTCAGGTTAATTACGTTTTTCAGTATTTTTTAAAAAGCGCTTAGGCAAATTAATGGCATTAAAGCTAAATGTATGAGTCTGTACGGTAGAATTGTGTTTTTTAGAACTTTTGGGAATTCATTTGTCAGTAAATAATGCACCTAAAACGCTTAACTTGGGAAATGATGAAAATACATTCACGCTCATTTTGGATTTTCCTAATTTTTTATGATAAAAAAATAAGAAAAACTCTAATTTCTATGATTCGCTTTACCATCTCAGGTGACACTGGCTTTTGGTTTTTTTTTTTTTTTTTTTGCTTTGTTCATCGTTTCATTTTACACTCAACGTTTCTAGTGCCATATGATTGCACAGGTAGCGCATGAACCAGTATTAATAGCGCAGAAATACCACTAAGCTATGTACATATGTGTGTATGTGAGGAGTCACATGCTCGACGATTGCCGCCACACTGAGTCGGTGGTAAACTTGCGTATCGGCAGGGAGGCTTTGGTGCGTTGAATTCGTTGTTTTAATACCTTTTAACACTAATCGCATTACGAGGAATCAATTGTGATGAGAATATAAAAATTTATATACATACATACAGATGTATGAATAAACAAAATATGTATACACTCAGTTGAGTGTAACGAATCAGCCAACCAAATAATCGAGTTGAAATATAAAAACAAAAAAAAAAACAAAAAAAAAAAAAAAAAAAAAAAAAAAACATAAAAAAACACGTTAGCAATAAATATTTGTGGCAAGTTTTTTGGGATTTTCTCACGTGTTCGCTACCACATACATACAGTCTTGTTGTTGTTTGAAAAGCTTATATTTACTTGTATTTGTTAATATTGTATAAATGTTATAAATGAGTGTTTCTTTTTTTATTAATTTTTATTTTTTTCTTATATATATGCATTTACTTTTTGATTTTTATTTTATATTTTTTTTTTTTTTGGATACCGAAATCAAAACTGAAACTCATCATTTTTCGGGGTGTTAATGAAATATGGAGATTTATGGGCATTGAAACGATTTTATGTTTGTCCGATGAACTGGGTCATTGGGGATTAGTTCGCCGGTGACGCCGGTTTTTTTTTTTTTTTTTTTTTTTTTTTTGTTGTGTTGTGCGGCTAGGACTGTCGTGGCTTCAGCAGGAAATGAGTTAAATTTTTTAGTTAATGAAAAATACTTCATTAACCAGCAAGTTTAACGTTTGTGCATGCATACGTACGTATATGCAGATGTATGATATTGAAATATGAAGCTTGGACTGGTGTACATAAATACAAATATAAATATTTAAATGTATAAATCGAACATGAATCGAAAAAGTTGGCAAGAAGTGAGTGGAAGCAGAGGCGCTGTATTTTTTAATACCTTTTTAAGAGGCGTTTCTGCATTTAAATGAGTTCCGCAGTGATGAATTAATACATATATTTTTGCAGACAAAGGCATTATGAATCATTCACTATAACATTTGCTTTGTACAATATTATTTAATTTACTGTGGCAAAAGCTTAATAAAGTGGTTGTAATATTTATATATGTGTATATATATGTATTTTTTTTTAGTTAATTTTTAGATAAATAATTATCAAAAATTAATTTCAGGAGGCCAAAGATCATTGTACGCCCTCACCTTGCTTACAAGGCCGCTGTCTCAACACTCCAGGCAGCTATTACTGTCACTGTCCACCCGATCGTGCGGGTAAACATTGTGAACAGATCCGACCACTTTGTTCACAGCCACCATGCAATGGTAAGTAAAGGAGAAAAATATGTATGAATATTAGAAATAAAAGGGAAATCATATCTAGTTTTATGCAATACACAAAAATAATTAATTAATTTTTATATTTCTCTCCGTACAGAGGGTTGCTTTGCTAATGCCACCATGAATGCCCTTCCATGCAGTGGGCATGGTACATGTGAGATCGGCGATGTTGGTACTTTTTGTAAATGTCATGTTGGCTATACGGGCACCTTCTGTGAGCACAGTAAGTAAAAAACTATAATTAAATACTAGATTTAATAAGATAAAAACTCGACTGCGTAAGATAAAAACTTAAGGCGATGTCAGCACCAGAGAGAAACTCCACTCTAATTTTATTTGATTCTAATTCTTTAATACAAATCCAAGTGTGGAGTGAATCGCAGCTCTCTGGTCAGCAGTCACAAGTAGAAGCAAGTGTTGCCAATTGCTCTCCAAAGTTTCAGCCATTTTGTACACGCTTTTTGTTTATATAAGAAACGTTCGATTGCGTTAATGTGAATGGCTTTGTGAAAAGGAATAAAATCTTTCATTCGGTTGTCTTTAAATGTTTGTGTTTGAAAGGCGTAACATCTGCGTAGGTCAAAGATAAGTTGGATGCTTTCTATGGGGCAGCTCTATGTATACGTGACCGGAAAACCATTGGAAGATGGTTAACGTTGCGAACGTGAAAAATTGAAACTACGGATGGAAATTTACCCGAAGTTCGTCAAATGGTGCTAATAGACCTGGATGCCGCTTTAAATCCAAAACGTATTGGAATAGACATGTCCAACGATCTGTTGTCGCATTTTAGACACAACAAATACGAGTCCAAACAGTAGACTGGAGAGAGGAAGAAAACAGTGATGGATTGTCTTGGCCAGCTGACAGCTGAGCTTTCGAAAAACAAGACAAATCCACGCCTCAGTCAGCAGATCTAACTCCAAGGTACTTCTTTTTTTCCGTCATTTAAAACTTGAGCTCGGAGGTCACAGATTTTTGTCAAATGAGAAGGCAATCAGCTTCGTGAACAATTATTTTTCTGAAAAAAAAAAATACACCGAGTACTTTTTGAACGGGTACAGAGATCAATGCGAGAAGTTACAAAAATAGAAAATGAGAAAAAATTTTGTGTATTTTTGTTAGATCGGAAACTTTGCAGACCACCCTCGTATAAATAGATTAGAGAAAAAAACTTGCAAAAACGCTATAATACAAAGCAAAAAAGCGTTTAATTTATACTTATATTCGTAAACTCTATATACAGAACGTGTGATTTTTCCTAAAATTTTTATAAAAGTATCAAACATTATTTGCAAAAACTCGCAAAGTTAAAAAGCTAATATTGACTGTAGTATGATTTTCCGTATAAATTTCATAAAAAATATTCATTTGAAATAAACTTTTTTATTAATATATATTTTAGCTAAGGAAATTTAAGATTTTTCGACCTTTGAATTATGGTCATTTTTTTTGCATTTGACAAAAGGTATTTAATCAAACCATTCCAGCTGATTTTATTTACTTTCTTCGTCGCTTACTAAAAAAAAAAAAATCACTTCTGTGAATTTATGGAAAAAATAGAATATAACAAAATGTTATAAAAACTTCATAATAGAAAGTTTGATCCCTTTAAATTCAAACATTTGCAGTTTTCAAGCACGCACGGAATGAAAAGCTAAAAAATAAACAAATTAAGCAAATTGTCTGAGTTTCAACGTAATTAATCCATAAATCACGCAAAATCGTTTTCTTAATTGGTTTTCCATACTCACAAAGAAATAAAATTAATCATTATTCAATCATAATAAAAGTTCGTATAAGCATAGAAAAGAATACATAAAATACTTTCCCACCGTTTGAGCATTATGTACGTGTATGTATGTATGGATGTGATGTGATTGAAGAGTTCACTTGATCGCTCATACGCTGGAAGAATTCAGTGAAAATTTTTATTATTATTTTTTTCTTTTTTTGAAAAGGATAAATTATAAATAAAATTGAAAATAAATTGAAATCAAATCAAAATAATAAAGTATAGTAAACGGAACGAAAATATTGCGCAGAACAGCATTTGAATGTTACACTTCTATGAAAATCGATTGTACATTCGTGAGTTAACAAATCATTAAAAAAATAAAATAAAATAAAATAAAATAAAATAAAATAAAATAAAATAAAATAAAATAAAATAAAATAAAATAAAATAAAATAAAATAAAATAAATTAAAATGAAATAAAATAAAATAAAATAAAATAAAATAAAATAAAATAAAATAAAATAAAATAAAATAAATAAAATAAAATAAAATAAAATTAAATAATATGAAATGAAATTTAATTAAATGAAAAGAAATAAAATAATAAATATAAAACAAATTTAAAATAAAATATTCAATGAAAATAAATAAATATTATAAAAAAAAATTTAAATGAAATTATTATAAATTAAAAGAATGAAAATATATTGAATTATAAAAATAAAATAACTTAAACTAAATAAAATGAATTGAGATAAAATAAAATAATAAAAAATAATATAAAACTAAATTAAGATAGAATAAAATTAGATGAAATGAAATAAAAAAATTAAAATAAAATGAACTATAATAAAATAATAAAAATAAAATAAAAATATATAAAAGAAACAAAAAAAATAACAAACTAACATAATATAAAATAAATTTATTTAAAATTAAAAAAAAAAAAATAAAATAAAATAAAACGGAATAAATAATTTAAAACAAAATTAAGTAAAACTAGAAAAGTTAAAAAGATTTAAATAATATAAAATAAAATAAAAAAATTAATAAATTAAAAAAAAATTGAAATGAAATTAAATAAAATTAAAAGAATAAAAATAAAATTAGCTGAAATAAAATAATAAAAAAAATTAACATAACATAAAAATATAAGGTAAAATAAAATAATAATAAAAAAAAAATAGAAAGTAACATAACAAAAAATAAACTAAATAAATTTGAATAAAATAAAATAAATTAAAAATAAAATAAAACGAAGTAAAATGATTTAAAATAAAATTAATTAAAGTTAAAAAAGTTCAAAAGAACTTACCCGATAAATAAATAATATAAAATAAAATTAAATTAAGTGAGAAGAAATAAAATAATATAAAACAAAACTAAAATAATATTAAATAAAATTAAATGAAATAAAATTAAAAAATTAAACAAAATAAAAATATTAAAATGATATTAAATTAATTTTAAGGAATAAAATTAAAATTAACTGAAATAAAATAAAATAACATTACATACAATAAATTAAAATAAAAAGTTATTAAAATGCACTCAAATGAAATAATAAAAATACAGAATCAAAAAAATAACAAAATAACAAATAAAAACAGTTAAAATTAAATAACACAAAATAGAATTAATTAAAAAAAATAAATCAAAATAAAATAATTAAAAGAAAAATTAAAGTAAAATACAATGAAAAAAAATAAATAAATAAATAAAATGAACTAAAATAAAATGATAAAAAAATGAAATAACATAAAATAAAATTTAAAAATTCAAAACAAAACAGTAAAAAAATAGCATAACATAAAATGAAATTATTTAAAATTAAAAATAATATAATAAAAAAAACTCGAAAGCTTGCAACTAAACGCACATTCGTCTGCATAAACCACAAAATTTGTTAATTAAAATGTTTGAAATTCTTTCCGAAGTAAAAGTAAAAACAACATACAAGCAAAGCCAACCCGCAGTTTCTTAGGCTCGCTAACCAGTAATACCCATTAACTAAGAGATATACCTATTTTAAAGTAGATATGTTTGTTTGTGTATATGTGTAAACATTTGTTGTGACTTTGTCTGCAAAAAATCGGCCGACAGATATGTTGCAGGATAACATGGTACAACAATGTACAAGAACAGCGGCAAAGCGAAACTGAAAAGATGTTGCATGCCTAAAACCCAATTAACTCGGCGAAGGTGTTTTTACTTTTATTAAACCTTACTTTTTACTTTTTTTTTTTTGTTTGTCAAGCACTGCTCAGTGCCATGTCCTTGCTTGTCTTAACGTACTTATTTATTTTCATTCTTTTTGCACATAACTGACTTTTTGTTTCTCTTTGCAGATTTAAATGAGTGTTCGCCAAATCCTTGCCGAAATGGTGGAATTTGCTTGGATGGTGATGGTGATTTTACATGTGAATGCATTTCAGGCTGGACAGGTAAGCAAGAAAACAACTCATGCATACATATACGTGTATATGTGCATAGTCATATACCTAACAAATCACACAAATAGTTGAGAAAATAGAATGGAAGAAAAAGAGGTGCAAAGTATTCGCGGCAGAAAAAGAAATAATTGTTACAATGACGAGTGGCATTAATGAGTTTATGTTAACAAGAAATCTGTTTTTTTTACTCTTCTTAAGAGTGTCTACATATATTATATATATATATATATATATATGTACAAATAGTATTTGTGTACTTGAATGCATCCGACAGCAAGTGCATATTTCCAGAATTCTAACCAAAGGTAATTGGTCAATATATGAAGTATATATATATATATATATATATATATATATATATATATATTGAACACCAGCAATTTTATCAATATAAAAAATATGCAAAGCAAAAGCATACAACAAATATTTGAAGGTCAGTGGGTCTAGGTTGCCTGCGACATTCCCTTTCATGTTTAATTCCATACTGTTTGCTTAAATATTAAAGGTTAATAAAAAAAGTTCAATATCAGAACTGACAAATGGAGTCCGAAATATTGTTTTATGGACTAGTAATTTAGTTTCAAGCTCACAATCGAAAATCGTGCTAATAATCACAGAAAATAGCTTAAGCATTGAACATTTTTAAAATTAATACTAATCGCTTGATTAATAGAAAATGAAAGATCGTAATTTATATTTGCCTTATAAGATTGATTTCTGCATAAATTACAAAATATTTCAGTATATCCGCGTTTATACATACATTAGAGTGATCTAATTTTTCACGGAGAAAAGCGTTCGTTAGAAACGATACAATTATCGGTATCATTATTTATGGTAATAGAGAGACTTAAATTAAGAGCATAATAAGAAATTGGCTGTTGAACTCTTTATTTTATTTTTTGTTTTGTTAGTTTTAATTTTATTTCATTTTGTTTCTTATCTTATTTTACTTTAACTTTTTTGTACTTGATTTAATTTAATTTTTTTACTTGTATTCATTTTTCTTAACTCATTTTATATTGTTTTATTTTATTTTATTTCGTTTTACTTTAATTTATATAAATGTTATTCGTTCTATTTTATTTCATTCAATTTAGTTTTTTATTTCATTTTATAATTTTCAATTTAATTTTGTTTTACTTCATTTTGTAGTATTCTATTTAATTTTATTTTTTTATTTTTAATTATAATCTTTCGTTCTATCTAATTTCATTTATTCTTATTTTATTTTGGTTTAGTTTTTTATTTCATATTATAGCATTCAATTATTTTTTATTTTATTTTATATTTTATGACATTTTTTTTACTTTATTTTATTTAATTTATTTTTTACGTTATTACATTTTATTTTATTTTACTTTAATTAATTTTATTTCGTTTTATTTAATATTTGTTTATTCTATTTGGTTTTATTTTAATTTAATTTTTTTGCTTATTTTATATTGTTCTATCTTAATTTATTAAATTTTATTTTATTTTGGCTAAGTTTTTTTATTTCATTTTATAGTACTCAACTTTATTTTGTTTTATTTATTTTTAAGGTAGTTTATTTTAATTTATTTATTTTTTTTATTTTATTCCATTTTATTTTATTTTTTTATTTTATTTTATTTATTTTATTTTCTCTACTTTTATTGTATTTTATTTTTATTCTAATTTACTTTATTTTATTTTTTTCATTTCGTTTTTTTTATTTTTGTTAATTTTATTTGGTTTTATTTTAAGTTTATTTTTTTTTTAATTATTATTTTTCTTTCCATCTAATTTCATTTATTTTTATTTTATTTTAGTTTAGTTTTTTTTTTCATTTTATGGTATCCAATTTTATTTTGTTTTTTTTTTCACTATTCAATTTAATTTTTATTTTATTTTATTTTTTATGACATTTTTTTTTTACTTTATTTTATTTTGTTTTATTTTTTTACGATATTACATGTTATTCTATTTTATTTTATCATATTTTATTTTATTATATTTAATTTAATTTAATTTTATTTTTTTATATTATTTTATTTTATTTTCTTTTAATTTTTCTTCATTTAATTTTTTTTTATGATATTTTGTTTTATTTTATATATATAATTTTATTTTATTTATTTTTGTATTGTTTTATTTTATTTCATTTAAAATGTTTTTTTTATGTTATTTAATTTTACATTATTTTATTTTACTCATCACCCCTTTATATATTTTGTTTAATTTTTTTCTATTCCTTCTTATTTTATATTATTTTATTTAATTTCATTTCATTTTAGTAAATTTTTTTATTTCATTTATTTTTATTGAATCATATTTTATGTTATTTTATTTTAAAATTATTATCCTTCATTTGAAAATCCTTCATTTTACTTTAATTTCTTTTACTTCATTTATTTTTATTTAATTATATTTTATGTTGTTTTATTTTATAATTATCCTTCATTTGAAAAACCTTTATTTTACTTCAATTTTATTTGATATTCTTTATTTTATTATTTTATTTAATTTAATATGTTGATGGTATTTTATTATAATTTATTTCATTTTCTTATTTTATTTCATTTTATTTAAGTAGTTTTATTTTTAAGTCGATTCTTTTTTACGTATAATCAGTAGAAAATATTGCTCTATTAATGGAAACGTCAATTATGCAAATTATTTAATTATGCACAGTAAGCGACTGGTTTACGCCTAATTAATTAAATAATAGTAGTGCGATATAGAAGACATTGGTAAATTAATATTAATTGATGTTGTTGATGTTTTCCATGTTTTAAATTATAATTGTTTTGAAACGTATAAAATATTTATGTAGCCATGAGCCATTCCTACCGACCATCTGGTTGCATGTGCAGCTTCACCACCTTTCGATTTTCGCCTTTAATCCGTACCATGCGAAAAATGAAACAAAGTAAAAATTAAATAAAAAAAGAAAAATACAGATATACAAAATATTTTAATTAAAATTTCCTAATCGTGTGTGAAGTGTTTTTATCTGATGGTGGGATCATTCGCCGCCGAATCCATTTAACCACATATCGTTTTGCCGCTCTGTCAGCGTGTGATTGTATGGGAGTCTATCCTTAGCGCCTTGAATAGTCTTCTCCCTCCTTGCCACATTTTTCTGCTCGTCTCTTACACTTTTTTTTTACAAATCCGCTGTCTTGTACGGTTGTGTTTAACCTGAAAGCGAATTAATACGAATTGCAAAAGATCGCGTTTCCAATTGCCGTTTCGTGTTCGAATCTTCGCATTGCCCACTTGTGATTGTGTGACTGTTAATGGTAGTATACAATACGTTTGCTGCCACTTGGTATTTTCAGCAGCCTTCTTCACAAACAGTTACCAACCGACTCTCGCCCATCCTAAGTTTCAGCAGCTTTAGCCAATTCGTAAGCAGTAGCGGCGGTGGCAGGATGTGACAGTAAAGTAATAAATTGCATTTCGTTTCTTGTACGCCGATTTGTAGCACAGATAGACATGCATATGTAGATGAGCGCATGCGTGCATGTTCACACATTTCGCATACAAGTGGCATCAAATGGCTGTTGGCCAGTGGTCAACTGGCATTTATACATGCTATGGTAAGGGTGATAGTGTCAAGAAGTTAGTCAGGATAGCCCTGAGAAATAATTTTGAGAATTTGTTCAATTGCTTGCCAACATGGTCAACTTACACTCTCTTTCAACGATAATTAATTCATTTAATGCTTACAAAATGCACTGGTGTCCAAATGATTTACGGATACGCTCTAAACGCCATCGGAAGCATAGTCGTAATCACGACTGTAAGAGCTTGGTTGAGCATCTCCAATGAAACTCAAAGTTTAAATTGAGAAACCCAACTTAACTCACAGAAAACACTCAGATTTCAGTCTAAAAGTCGTGCGCTGCATGAACTACAATAATCGTTTCTGCTATTACTAAGCAAATAAAAGGCAAAATATGTGGTTACTGGAAAGCAAAAAAACTTAGTGTATTTTTCCCAATTATTGCAAAGAGAGCCCTCATACAATACTTTGCGGGAATTATCGTGAATGATTGAAATCAAGAATCCTTAAACAGACCTTCGAAGCTTAGGAGTTTCAGGTTTTGAGTTGAGTTGGTGTATTTTCCATCTTCTCAGGTGTACGAGAGCGTACATATTTCGTGTGCCTTATGAACGATGCGATGATGCCTTTACCAGACTTTGCAACTTCGGCCAGGGAGTCAAAGAAGTGATGTCCCAGACTCTTTCTTTTGCTCGTCCCTGCAGCTTCGATAAAAATCATTGAAATATTATGTCTTTCTCCTACCGTGAAGTCCCATTAAGCAGTGTCCGTCTGTTGTATTAATGGTGAATCGGTCTAGGCGAATTCGATCCCTTGATTTTTTAGCGTCCAGCACAGGCCAAAGCTGTCTAGTGATGTTGCAGATTCCTACGCGAAGCCAACTGGTGTTTGCTATTTTGGAGAAAGCCAGCTTAAGTTTGAGTTTTGCCGTAGACAAGAGTAGACAATGGTAGCTAGAGTGGTATCTTCACTCGCTAGCTCATCTGCTATACAGTTGCCTGGGATGTCCTTATGTCCGGTCATCTAGACTACGGCTGTGTTTTATCTATCTTAGAGCTTGTTTGGAGTATTTCTGTGATTACAATAAGTTCTGCTTGGAAGACGTTGCAGAACTTTGATACGGAACATTTGCATTTTCTCATTCAGTCCTGTCCGGGATTCTTGTGGGAACAGTAAGTGAAGCAGTCTAAATTCGCTCGAAAATACGAGAATGCACAGGAGACAATATGCGGTCGTGCCCTGTAGCGTGATACCTCCAAGCTTGATCCCCGTTGCAGTTCGCTTGAAGTTTACCGTACAAATCCAGTCGAAGAACATTCAGGTAGGTTTCCAAGGCTTCTGATGGAGTTGACGATAGATCTCCAGGCCAGTGATCTAGTCTACTTCTGAGAGTATTTTTTTTGAATGCTGGCCACCAGGCAGAAAGTTTCTAGAATACAATGGGTCTGACTACCTCTGTATAGATCCAGTGAACAATAAAGGGTTGCGTTGGGTGGTGTGATAACTTTCCTCGACCTTACCATCTTTCTGAGATCCAGAGATAAAAAAAAACATTCAGATTTTCGAGTTCTTGACTGTCGTTGTTAGTGCAACGAAGAGGTTGATATTTTTTCAATTTTATCCACATATTAGCATTACATAGTACATAATATATATTACACACTATATTGTATATATATACATAACGAATAACTGGTAAGGTTCCCATCTTCATTAATTTCCTACTTTCTCTACTTCAGGTAAGCGTTGCTCCGAGCGTGCCAATGAATGCTATGGCGGTCAATGTCAAAATGGCGGCACCTGCCTGCCCGGCTCAACAGAAAAAGGTTTACAATCTCATTGCCGCTGCACACCTGGCTGGCAAGGCGTATTCTGCGATGAGCCAATTGATCAGTGCAGGGGTCAGCCGTGTCATAACGGCGGTACTTGTGAATCTGGCACTGGTTGGTTCCGCTGTTTGTGTGCACAAGGCTTTTCCGGACCAGATTGTCGTATCAATGTGAATGAATGCTCTCCTCAGCCTTGTTTGGGCGGTGCAACATGTATCGATGGTATTGGTGGTTTTACATGCATTTGTCCACCAGGCCGACATGGATTACGCTGTGAAATATGTAAGCCCATAAATAGTAATAAGATCCAAGTAAACTTATTTCATTAATTTATTTGTTTCCTTTCTTGCAGTGCTCTCTGATCCCAAATCTGCCTGCATCAACTCAACAAACACGCTGTCACCTTATCATGCTCTGAATCAAAGCCAAGGCGACTGGTTAGAACTAGCGCTCTCGGGCAACACCGATGAGTACTGTAATGCTTGCATCTGTGAGAATGGCACTTCGCGTTGTACGAATCTTTGGTGTGGTTTGCCAAATTGTTTCAAGGTGGATGCTACGAGGAAATCATCAAATTTATCTGGCGTTTGCAAGCAACACGAGGTGTGTGTGCCGACGGTGACTGAGGCATGTCTTTCTCCACCTTGTGCTGTACGTGGTGACTGCCGTACTATAGAGCCCTCGCGTCGTGTGGCACCGCCACGTCTGCCCGCAAACGCCGATTGCTGGCCAAACCAAGCTGTGTTGAATGAGAACTGTGCACGTCTCACTATACTACTGGATCTGCAACAAGTTGTACAGGGTTCGTCAGTAGAGGGCCTGTGCTCGGTGTTACGATTTTTGTTGGCCTCAAAACTTGTAAAATTGCCACATAACAACAATGACGCCATGCTTATCATAATATGCGATTTAAAGATGGGCACCAACGACACCATCGAAGTGACTGTGGTAAGTAATTGTGGTCAGCACTCACCAATATACAAATATTTTATGAACAATTTTGTCCTTTCATTAGTCATCAACGAAATCAGCGGATCCCCAATTACCCACCACCGTTGGCTTACTCGGCGAGCTACTCTCTTCGCGTCAAATAAACAGTCTCCGACGTCGAAATGAGTTGCGGAATGCAAAATTTTCGCCATTAGTCTCAATTCTCGAGGTCAAAGTAGAGACTGCACTGGTTGCTGAGGGCAATCACAACAGTTTGCTAATCGGAATGCTCTCTGGCATTTTCGTTGTACTTATCGGCTTTGCAATATTTTTAACGCTAATGTGGCGCAATCGATTAAATCCACGCTCTACATCGGGTATCAATCACACACCCTCAATGGATGCGTTACGACACGAAGAGGAGAAATCGAATAATTTACAAAACGAAGAGAATCTACGACGCTATACAAATCCCCTGAAGGGTTCAACAAGCTCATTAACACGCACCAATGGCATGGAACTCAGTCTCAATCCATCACCCGAATTGGCAACTGTGTCTTCACTAGTGGCGGCTTCCACGTCGGCATTACATCGTTCGCAACCACTATATCCGGCCAATTGCGGTGAATCGAATTTCGACTGCGAGTTGGAGGTGAGTGCGACGGGCAGCAGAGCAATAGCGGCAAGCAAAACGGAGCTACACCATGCTCATGTCCAAAAGCGTAATTCACAAATTCTACTGCACAAAACGCCCAATTCCGATATGAAGAAAAATACGGTGGGCTCTTTGGATAGCCCACGAAAGGATTTCGGAAAGAGATCGATAAATTGCAAATCAATGCCACCACCTGCCAATGAAGAATCAGACGTGCTCACAGTGGTTGTGTAGTATATGTTTATGACCGTTAGGGGCAAATGAAGTAGAGCCCAAATGCATTTGAGTCAATGATCTCAGAATATCTACCGAATTAAACTTTAGGAATTAAACAAATCGCCTTTGCGGAATAAATGAAAAAAAAATTATATTATTTTGAAGGTAATTGTGGATGCAGTGCAGAGTGAAATGAGGTAGAGAAGACTGCGTGCTAACCAGACATGCATATTATTTTATTGAAAACCGTAAAAATGACTAAAAATAAACGAAAGTTTACTTAACTTAATTTTTACAACAATGACTTACGACTGTTTCGAAATAAATTAAATGAATTCTTGTATTTTAGCTAGATATGAAAGTTATTATGGCGTTATTTATATAGTGTAATTAAAGAAACTTATAGGTAAATAAATTAAATTAATTTAATTTAGGCGTAAAAAGGGTAATTAAAGGGACATAACAAATTAGCTATTATCATAACAATTAATATGTTGAGTTTGAAAATCCTACAGCGTGTGATATTATAGAATAAATATGTAATATTTTAAATAAATTAATAAATAATTGCAACCTAAAAATAACGTGTATTATAGTAAAATAAGTAATTACGAAATAAATACCAACATTTATATTCATAAGTAAAATAAGCATTTTGTTGTGCATTTTACACATCATAATAAGCTATGTAAATAATAATAATAATAATAATAATAATAAGGCAAAAATTTCAAATTTCAATTTTTTCATATTTTGCACATTAAATGATATTTTTTTTTATTTTCGCCCTCTTTGTTTAATACCATTTAAATTATGAATGCTTCCATATTTTTAACGTATAATTTATGTTATTTTCACATAAATAGGCTGCAATAAATACTTTTTGCTATTAGTTTTAGTATTGATTAGCCATTATTTATTTTCAATAAGTTTTTGTAAATGTTTAAGTAATTTTAAGTAAATTTTTCATTAAGTATTCCGATTTTCTTACAATAGAACTTTTATTATTTTTATAAAAAGTTTTCTCAAGAGTTAATAAAGTTGAAAAATTAAAACAAAAATGTTTTATTTTTACCACCAATTTATTGATTAATCAACGGTCTACCTTCAAATTCGTATATGAAAATGTTTTCCTGTGTGCGATCATAACCTATATGAAAGGTTAGCCAATAAGAGTTGTTATTTTGAAATTCAAGGAAACTTTTCTCTTCAATGATTGATGGTTTCGTTGCTTTTGTGGCACATGTGGCCGTCCATTCATTTTCGTAAAAGTAATGTCCAATAACCCCGCCGGAACATAAGCCGCACCAAACACTTACACGTTGAGAATGCGGAGGCTTTTAAAGTATAAGTCTTTGGTTTTTCGACACCCAGATGCGAAAGTTTTGCTTTCGACGGAGCCATCAAATTAGAAATGGTTCCCATCAGTCCAGATAATTTCTTAATGAAATTTGTGTAGTGAATTTTATGAATTTTGAAGCGTGACTGAAGCGTGTATCGTGCCATTTTTATTACCTGCGGTGGCCGCGGTAGCAGAGTGGTTAGCATCCCTGTGCGATCAACATCCAAAAGCTATAGAAAATTAATTTAAATAAAAAAATAAGTTACATTTTCTAATAGCGGTCGCTCCTCGGCAAGGAATGCCAACCACTCTGAGTGTATTTCGGACATGAAATAAAGCTCCTCATACAAAAACCCATCAGCCGTTCGGAGGCAGCTTAGTATAAACTGTGGGTCGCTCTATTTGTTGGAAAAACATCAAGACGCAAAACTACAGATTAGAGGAAAAGCTCTGACTAAAAATTTTCTTCAGCGGTTACAAAGCGCCAATTATATATATATACGAATTGGCGCGGCGTGTGATATCACCTTTTTTGTGGATTGGACAGAGTACACTCACGTCTAAATCATCGGGCATGCTTTCATCCGACCATCTTCTGCCAAGCAGCCGATGCATACATGTTATCATTTCTTCGCCGCCTTATTTGAATAGCTTGGCCGGTAATCCATTCGCCCCCACCGCTGTGTTGTTTTTCAAGCGGACGATTGCTAATCGAACTTCTTTATAGTCGGACCATGAAACATCATAAAATAAGTAGTCGCGTATAGAAAAGCGAATTGTTATTTATTGGGTAATAAATAAACGTTGGCTAAGTTCCTTAGAATTATTGAGACATTTGTTCAATATCCAATGATGGAAGTTGAAGGATTTGAGAAATCATCGAGGATAATGAGGAAAAATCATTAGGTCGCGTATTTAACTAAAATCCATTATTATTGTATTTCACTAACGTTAATTACTTACAATCTGCTGCTTGAAATTCGTTACATACACTTGGGGGTCTGTAATTTTCTCAACATGCAAGCAAATATAAGCAAAGTTATTGATAAAATAAAATTCAATTAATAACATTAAAAGTTTTATTATGAAAATGAAGTAAAAATAAAAAAAATTATTTCAACAATATTTGTTTCAGATTTTAATGGTCAAAAGTATTAACTCTATGCTAAGTTTACTCTGAGATTCCTCTTTTCTCCAACACCAAAAATCCACTGCTCATGTGGCAGCACAGCAGATGATTGCTAGACGTCAAAGTGCAATATTTGGTAAATCCTTCATTCTGGAAAATAAATAAATATTTTAATGCAGTTCATATGTAAAGAAACTAATATAAAATCGCATTTCTTTATATATCCACTTAAGAGTAAAGTTCAACGAAGTAAACAGAATATTGTGAACCTCAAGTCTTTATTATTTCATAATATCTAAGCATATTTACTTGGAGGAAGAATGCTGAAGTTCTTAAAAAATATGCTGTTGAGCCTTTATATGCAATATGAATTGGTCACCTGCATATACATGTTTGAACCTTGGGAAAAGAAGTTAATAAGTAAGTTAAGATCATATCAATATTCAGTAAAAACAAAGAAATAAAATGTATTCGACTCTATCTATGTGTAATAGATTCTGCGACATCTAATCTGAACATATACTCCAGTGTATTGTTTTTACATTATTTTAAAAATTATCGCAACTCTTTACTCTTCTCTTAAGCAATTTGACGATAAAGATACTTAAACAACACGAAAATTACCAATAACATAATTATTGATAAACAATTTCCTTTAATGATATGATGAATCACTTTTCGGTTTGTCGAGTAACATTCTTTGCGTTTACAAAATGAGTAGTTAATTTAAGTAAACTAAATACAAAGATTAAATTTAAAATAAAAATATTATATACCTCTTTGGTTGATTATAAAATTATTCTAGAACTCTACACTGCTAATCAGTGAAACATTTAAATTTATTTAAAAATGTTTGCTTCCTAATGCAACTGCTGCCCGAGAGTAATTTTAATATATGAAAACACGGATGGACTCTGACCATTTCAGTACTATCAGGAACATAGATCAAAGTATTTGAGCCCAAGAAAATGTACACGCTTTATTTACTATTTATGTACTCTTTGTTTATATTTAATGAAATATTAATCTCTAAACGATTCTAAATTTCCAGACAGTTTTGTGCTGCTCACACTAAGTTTGGTTATCTTCTCAAGTGTTGTGTACTTACCGTCATACATAGAAACATTCCTACGATTTGTGTCACCACTACCAGAGGAGGAAGGTGGTGCGTCCTATACGCCTATGCTGCACACAGAGAAAATGAGTATGAGTTAAGGAAGAAAGGAGTTAACAAGGATAAGACTAAAAACGCACAGATAGTGAGATTTTTCTTTTGAATTATCGTAGCAATATATTCATAAAAAACCCTGTTAAGACAAAAAAGAATTGTTACGATTTGCAAATTTTAAAGTCTATAAAAAATAATGAAAAACAAATTTAGAAAAAATGTGGTTTATACAAATGTATGTATGTAAAACTTAACGAATTTCCAAAAAGTGTAACTTGCAGTAAATAGTTATATATAGTTAATTATCTGGTGCTTAGAATGGAATTTTTACAATAAAAACTGCATTTACTTCCAAATAATTGGTTCTTATTTAGTAAATAAAACTTTTATTTTTTGTCATTATATGTAAAAAATACTTTGCAAAGTTGTATTGGTATAGTCGGTTGATAAGTAAAAGATATTCCTCAATTATTATAATCATGATTCAAATCAGAGTATACCGAAAATATAATAAAGCGTAAAGGATACAAAAACGTAATCTCAGTATGTATGTTTATAATTCAAAGGCAAAGATTGCTTTCCTATCAATTTTTCTTTAATCACGTTAACATATTCATGTAATTTAAGAGAAAAGCGATATATTTACACATTAAACAAGCAATTATAGTGTTCGCAAAACATTTGCGCTTTTTAATTTCTGAAAAAGAGATTTTAAATCCTTTTCCAACCATCTTTCCACTTAAACTCCTTTAAGGAAAATATTATTTCTATTAGCCTCAGTAATGATGCATTGAAATAGAGACCGGCAATGCCACCCACCGAAACTGAAAAAAAATCAAAGCAATGTGGAAAGAACTTCAATTGTGACTCAATTGTTTCTTACTTAATAAATCCAATGGGGTCTTGGTGACTCGTCGAACATAGCGTTGTGTCGGTAGCTCAATCAGTGCGATTTGTACCTGCGTAGTTTCCATATCACTTTCGCTTTCGCTAAAATTGTGTTAATTAAACAAATTTTTAATATACCATTACTTGTTTGAAAATATCACTCACCCATCAGGCGAATTGTAAACTATAGTATATTCCGGCTCTTCACATGAGCTCATACAATCACATGATTTTCGTTCGTGTTGTATGTCTTCATAGTAACGAGTGAGACAACTTAAGCCGCGATAATCACACATGGGTATGGATACACTGCTTGCTGTAAAGCAAACATGAAATATCAGTCAAGTTGTCTTCATATACACTTGTTTTACTTTCCTTACATTTTATAGCGGGCGCTAGAAAATGGCTGGTGCAATTACAATACTGCAATTGCGCTGTCAAACCGCACTCTATAACACATGTGGAATAACTGTAAAAATCATAGAGGTCAACTTGTGCTCCCCAATCCGTACGTTCATTTATAAAGCGACATCGTCGTTGGTCCAATGACAGTTGGTAAACACTGGGATGGTTGTATACTTCCATAATATTAATGATAATCTCTTTGGAGCTGCCCAGCAATACCGTCTCCCGTATCATACCCTCAAAGAAAGCAAGTGGAATATCAGTGGGGGGATGAATGTGTAGTTGGATGTCAGCAGAGACATCAAACTTAAGGAAACCAGGACCTGTTTCACGACTGTTGGCAAATTTCATTTGAGAGTTTTTGCTGCGTAGTACATAGAATCATTAAGAAGTATGTCACATTGTATATATGTATGTATATCTGCAAACTACAATTGAATTTATTTGCAATTGTGGAACTTACGTTTACTAACACTGAAAAAAATATTAAAATATATTTATGTGTGTATTTACATATATATAAGCACTTTAAAGAAGAGGAGGAGCTTTGATTTTCATTTCAGAAAAACACTCGAAGAGGCTGACTTGCTCTGCCGAGGGGCGATCACAATTAGAAAAAGTAAGTGCTACTCGGACTAGGACTCGAACCCTGTTCTTCCAAATGCCAGTACTCAATGCTAACCATTCTTAACTTTTTAACAACAAAAACTGGCCTTAAGTGGAGAAGCTGGTCTAGACTTTTAAAAAATGGAAAAAAATCTTAATCTTAAAATGTGCTTTAGGGTCTCAGAAATAACATGCCGAAAGTTGGATGACGGCAAAAATGTCTAAATGCCCAGATTTTTCGTTCGACGGCAGTACTTCGCAGGTATGCCCCGAGCGCCATTAACTTTAAATGCGTTCTTCTCGAAATCACTTTTTTTTTTAACTGGCCGAAGCCATAACTCGATTAAATCTTCACCTATTCTTTTGAACTTTTGACAGTACAATCGAAATACGAAATATGTACGTAGGTAGGATTTTTTTTATATTTTTTTAGTCAAACATTTTTTGTCGTTTTTTTAAAGTGAAAATTTTAACTTTTTGTTCGAACGTACACTATTTCTCGAAAAAAAAAAACAAGATATGAGGCTTGCTGTTGTTATATGGAAACTAAAAAAAATATTTTTTGATCCAGGACCCATTAGAAAAAAGGGGTCTTTGGGGAAATGCTGGACAGCGGCCATTTTGAAATTAATGCACCCGAAAAATTTTGTATTTGTACCATGAAACATATATTAATAATCCTATTTTACAGATTTCCGATTGATTACTTTGTTGAGTCAAAATAAATTCATAAATTATGCCCCTTGAGAATTTATGCACAAAATAACGGTCACGATGTAAGTTGAATACTATCCTGATTTTCAATTGACAGTAATTAAACATAGGGGAAGGGAGCTCTAACAATCGACACTTGTATGCTTTCATCCACTTACCGCGCTTGATTCGAATTGAAAGCAAAGCATATGCCATATTCTGTACGAATCGGAAGAAACTCGTCACAACACTCGAAATGTTTATTCGTATATATGCAATTAAGTAGCAATTGTTCACATTTACCACGGAACTGAAAGTAAACCATATTAAATTACCAAGAATCGGTTCTTGCCAAAGAAGGAAATTGAACAACAAAATGCCTTGCCAATACGCACCTGATTCAACAATTCTGTAAAATTCTGAGGACACTTCATTTGATCACATCTATCGCAGGTAGTGCAGGTGCCACGAAAGAATACCACCTCACCGACAAAATCATCAACATTCAAATCATGATTTGTTCCAAAATATTGTTCGCTCATATCCCACATTTTTTCACCATTATAAATCTCACAAACGGTTACGGCCGGAAATGATGTATTCCAATTGATGCTTTGAAAATAAATATATATGTAAACATGCATTTTAGTTATGGTAAAAATTTCTTAAGCGAAAATAACATAATTACAATAATGTATCCATGTTAAACGATACGGAGGAAGCAAAGAAATTATTTATAAGACCCGCAGAAAATTTCACTAGGAAAGTTAATGTAAAATAGCACCAAAGCGCAATGAATGAACTGTAAATAATTAAAAATTATGTTTTTTATTAATACACACACGAACACAGAAATAAAATCGAATTTATTGTATGAATACCATTTTAAAATCAAGCGCAACCAGTTTGACATTGTCCTTCTGAGTAATGACTGACTAGCAGGACTCGACGCGTTCACCGTTCTATATTCAATATATTCGAAATTTTATTTCTGCATAATCATATTTTTGTAAAATGTTACCTAGATATACATATATGTAATGTGTGTAGATATATGTAAGTTCATACAAACAAAATCTATTCACGCGTTCAAAAAATAATTCCATTGTTTAGGTCTTTTATTGTTCGTCATTATGTGAAAATGATTGATAATCATCTAACTGAACTGATTTATTAACCCATATTTTGCTAGTAAAACGTTAGTTAATCCAACAGTCCTTTTCAGGCATTTATTTAATCATTCAAATAGAGCAATTAATGGCCAAAAGCTCTATTCGATTGGTAAAGTAAAAAATAGAAATAAAATAATAAAATCGATTGATAAACATTTCAGCAAAATTCATTGTTGCGTAGTTTGTACAAAAAACAAATATTTGTTGCCCAAAAAGTAATTGCGGATTTTTTAAAAGAAAGTAAATGCATTTTTAATAAAACTTAGAATGAACTTTAATCAAATATATATTTGCCATTTTGTTCGATAACCTTTTGCCATCTTCCTGGCAAATTTAGTATTCCACGCTCATAGAGCTTCTGGCCTTTATCTGCAAAACACTGAACCAAGTGCGATTTTATAGCCTCATCATTGCCGAAAGTTTTACCATTTAAGGAGTTCTGCAAAGATCGAAATAAATGGTAGTCTGATGGTGCAAGGTCAGGGCTATATGGTGAATACATCAAAAGTTCCCAGCCAAGCTCACTCAGTTTTTGGCGAGTGACCAAAGATGTGTGCGGTCTAGCGTTGTCCTGGTGGAATATGACACCTTTACGATTGACCAATTCCGGTCGCTTCTCCTTGATGGCTGTATTCAGTTTGTTCAATTGTTGACAGTAAACATCCGAATTAATCGTTTGGTTCCTTGGAAGCAGCTCAAAATATACGACACCCTTCCAATCCCACCAAACAGACAGCATAACCTTCTTTTGGTGGATATCAGCCTTTGAAGTGGTTTGAGCTGGTTCACCATGCTTGGACCATGATCGTTTTCGACTAACGTTGTTGTAAACAATCCATTTTTCATCTCCAGTTATGATTCGTTTTAAAAACGGATCGAATTCATTGCGTTTAAGGTGCATATCACAAGCGTTGATTCGGTGTGTTAAATGAATTTCTTTCAATACATGTGGTACCCAAATATCAAGCTTTTTCACCAGTCCAAGACTTTTTATGTGATAATGAACGGTTGATTTTGGTATATTTAACTTCTCTCTTATCTCACGCTCAGTTACATGACGATCCAATTCGATTAATGCTTTGATTTGGTCATCATCAACTTCATTTGGCCGACCTGAACGTGGCTCATCTTTGAGTGAAAAATCTCCAGAACAGAATTTGCGAAACCAATTTTGACAGTGTCTTCCTTTTAAGACTTCATCACCATACACATCTCGTAACTTTTTAGCAACCTGCCCCGCGTTTTTTTCTTTACGGAAATAATAAATTAAAATATGACGAAAATGCTCCTTTGTGTGCTCCATATTAAAATTGACGCCAAACAAACAAATGTAAACAAAATTTCGAGCACTTTTTTTCTAAAGCAAGCTAAAAGTAACAGCTGATAACTGACAGAAGAAAGAATGCAATTACAGAGTCAGAGCCGTTGAAAAAACTTGTCAACGCCGACTATATGAAAAATCCGCAATTACTTTTTGGGCAACCCAATATTACTCATGTCTAAGAGAGCTTTGGCATGTTGGCTCATTTCCCTCGAAATTTTTTATTAACTTTACTTGGCCGTCCAATTGCTTTGTCTGTTGCCAGCAACTTTTCTTTGTCTTTGCTCCAGGTGCAGCCGGCTGATGCTTTGAGGATTTTATTGCAGGTTTTTTAGTTTTGTGGCAATCGCAGTGAAAGTGAATCTGACTTTCAGTAACTTCGCGCTGTAAATAGTCGGAATTGTTACGCGTTCCATACGAGTTCGAACGGAGCTCGAGTCGATAGTCCTTCGTAGCCGCTCATTGCGCAGATTTTAGCAGTAATTGTTTTGCAATGTAGAAGTGGGAAAGGCCACCGAGTGAGCAGTTCTCTTTCGAACAAAAGACTAAGTCAAGAATATCCTGGCTAGACGCTCATATCAACCAATCATCAGCATATGAGATTATTGAAACCCCTTCTGTTGGTGGAGGTAGCTTTGATATATAGAAATTAAACAACACGGAGGAGAGCACAACACCCTGACAAATCCCTTGCTTAATCTTTCTGAGTTTCTACCCATGATTGTCGAACACTCAGGTAGCCATACCTCTTCAACCCCGGCGGTAATCGGGGAATCCTCAATGTCTACTAGTAGCACTAAATGATTCACGGTGTCAAAAGCTTTACACAAATCCTGTGCCACCAAGAGAGTTCACGCACAGGAACGGTTTTGGTTGAGGCCATTGACTATCTGCAGCATCAAGGCCACAAGAATCTTCGCTACTGAGGAGAGGAGAGATATCGGTCGCAACGATTCTCCCGTGTTGGCTGGTTCCCCCGCTTTTTAGTAGCGAGACCATCCGACCTATATTCTTCATGTTGGGTACAGCCAAATTGAGGACCTTTATGAGATATTCGGAGCCCGCTGGTCCTCAACATCTTCTCTGGAGAAATCAATCGCCGCGCTAGTGTTTGGTAGTTTGCGCGAACGGGTGGGTTACTTGTTATTTCTTTTTGTCTACCAAGGTGTGCAGTGGAAGAAGTCGGCTAAAAAAAAGCTCGCGCGCCTCTTCGGGTCTGACGAGGCGGGATTACCAAGTAAAATTTCTACCCGGTCATTGCGTCTCATCGGGTTTGACCAGGATTTGACTGTGACCCAGAACTTGGTTGACCTAGAGGAGAGATTACAGGACTTTCCTAAAGGGCTCCTGATACTTATTCCATTTGTGGCTAAATCTTCTAATTGAGCTCCGTGATAAGGGATGCCGCTTCAGTGGAAAAATTAAGGCGGATTACACAATTCGGACTGCCGGGATGAAGCGGGCGACAGAGGACCCAGCAATCCTTCGGAAGGAGGATGCACCGGCGGTGACTTCAGCTGGAATGGAGAAAGTACTAAAGGCGTTTTCTGTGCATTACATGAATCCGGACCAGTTAGCTTTTCTAAAGTTAACAAACATACGGTGGTCCAAGGGGACGAAGTCGCTTCTAAGGATATTATGAGTATGTGGTCTGAGGCTATCGCCAGCATAGGTCGACAGGTATTTACAACTCTGGTAACCAACCCCAGAGTTCTGTGGTTTCACGGGAATCCACGCAACTGGACTTACATTCTACTCTCCAACGACTCCTCCGTCGGAGTTGTTGATAATTTTAAAAGCTTGTCAGAGTTAACAATTTCGAGTGCTGGTCTGATAAGCATCCAAAATTGTATAAGAATTAATTTAGTTTATACTAATCTATGCTGATGTTGAAATAAAAGCTCATCGTAAAAATCCCTATGCCATTCGGAGGCGGCCTAGAATGAATTGTGGGTCCTACCATGCGATAGAAAGACCTCCAGGCGCGTATTCAAAATTTGAGAAATTTTAGCTTTACACATGGAATTTTGTATTCAAAAAAGACAATTGGTTTGATACATTTCAATTCGAGTGATTAAGTCAGTTGCTATAATACTAGTCTGCGTGATTGGAAAAGGAAAGAAAAAATTTCAAGTATGTCCAACTGAAAATAACATCTACCCTGATCCGATTCACGATAGAAAAAGTAATGCAGGCAATAGGGCCTTTTCGAATAGTTTGTTCCCAAGTCTACTTACAGGAAGAAAAATAAATGCTTATGATAATCCAAGCAATACGGCAATGTAACAAATTTCACCCGGAAATACGATTTTTTGCACAGATCGGTCCCTGGTCTGGTCCACGTAAAGCTATCTGGGTTCACAATTTGAAGAAAATCGAGCAAAATAAAAAAAAATTTTTTTGAATAGGTATTCTTCTCGTTTGACCAGAGAGCTATCCATATTGGTGCGAATGGTTGAAATCGGTCCACGCGTTCTTGAGTTATAATGTCATCTGATAAGGAAGGGCTTTCCAGGAAATTGATCTGGCACCTATCTATTGGAAAAACGGGGTTTTGGTTCGATTTGCTTTAAATATGGAATAGAATTAGGGCTCTAGATTTCAAATATTCCTTTGATATTTTTCAGTCTAAATAAATTTAAAATTAAAGTTATTAGAGAGAAGCTTACTCAAAATGGTCGACTTGCTGGAGCTCCGGATCGTAGATTTTCGAGCTATGAGCAATAAGCGAGTGTGCGAGTAATCGCTGCTAAAATGTTCAAACTGCTCGAAAATGTTCGAACAAAATCTTGAGTTCTAATAGAGAAAGCTTTTGCCTTGCTTAATTTATAAAAAAAAATTTATTTACAGAAAGTGGACCAAAAAAAAACAAACAAGAATAATATTATTTTCAATAAGATGATACAATATAACTTGATTCTTACATTCTTATTCTGAAAATTTATCAACGCATACACAGATTGAAAATAAGATTTTCGCTTATTTTCAGCAATGTTATATCGAGACGGAGAATTGATTGAGTAAAAAAAACTTCCATGCAAATGAATTTCCGCCTAAAAACTGTCGATGTTTTTATGAAGAATCAAAGCATGCATTTAGGAGGATTAGATTATTTTTAGAAAACATGTTAGTCCTTGTATTCGAGTTAAATGAAAAAAATATTATTATTTATATATATTATCAAAAAAATTTAAGTCTTATTTATTGTTTTATACGCCTTTGAGTTGAGTCAAACCATTTGAGGTTATCTTTAGTTACAATAATATGAGCTTGAGCTCGTTTTAAATATGTAAAATTATTATAAGTATAATAAATATGTATAATAAATATTCATTTCAGGCAACATTGCACAGATTAATTATTTCTTCAAATTGGGCTACAGTTAATTTTGAGCAATATTTCTGGTTATCCATGGCATAAAGTTTATAACATTTGCATAAATTCCAGGAGAATTTTTATCACTACCGCACTCCGTGCCACCGAAAGACACGACGCCATATTGAACATAGCGTTGAGATTTCTGTGGACCACTATAAGGAGCTAAATAGAAGAGCGGACCACCCGAGTCACCTTTACAGGTATCAATTAAGCCATCACCACCAGCGCAGAGATGATTTTCATTAATTTGCGTTCGTCGGAAGATTGCCTGACATTGTTCGCGTGTCTTATGTGGTACCAATGCTTTTTGTAAAATATTCGAGGTTCTGCCATTCTCAGTGCCACCCCAACCTGCTATAAAGAAGCGACGATCTCTGGGTATTTCTGCCGCTTCTGGTATGATGGGCAAACAAATCGGCTTTATGTGCTCTGTTAGAGAAAATTGTTGAGATTTTAATTTTTTTTTTTTTTTTTTGATATTTTAAAGGTTTCATTGACATCTAAGTGAACTAACTTACTTTGGAATTTCACTGAGCGATTAAGTTTAACCAAAGCAACATCATTTGTTTTGCGCGCGTTGTTAAAATCTGGATGGGGTATGGTCTTTTCAACGTCTATATCTTCCACCGGTGGTGAACAGATACGGCGGGAGTTCAGATTTACACAATCTTCTTGCTCAGATAAGTCATGTTCACCCAGTCGAACGGCTATACTAAATTTTGGATGGATTGAAATGTTTTTATTATTACATAGCGTGATATTTAAAGCCGCATTAACTTACACTTTTTCCGCCACGCCCACCATACAATGTGCTGCAGTCAATACAAAATTATCTGTTATTAACGATCCACCACATTTGAAACGATCCTGAGGAGTATCATAGATCAATAGTGCCATCCACGGGAACTCATTTAGATCAACATCTTTTCCATGCGACACCCTTTGGCCATCAGCAACACCACATTTCTGTTGTTTCAATTTATTCAAGCCCTCTGGATCCATAGGTGCGACCGTTGATGTAGGTGGTAAGAGGGTGTCATCGCAGCAGATGTGGATCTGAATGAAAAATGTTATAAATGATTATGAAAGCGAAACTTTTTCGAAAAAATTTCAAATAAAAAAAGTAAGAGCTGCTATAAATATTGCTTGTGTGTTTGTAATGATCCCATGATCTTCAAAAGTTACTGACCGATTGAGTTGAAATTTTGTCGAATTGTTTCTATTGTGCTTTGAAAGAAAGACTACTATTCTCTCAAGGAAGGGAAGTTTTGGATGTTATACCTAAATAAAATACTTTTATTTAATCCGAATGGGTCAGGGGCCTGCTCCAAGCTCTAATTACTCGAAAAATAAATATTACTTTATTTACAGTAAAAGCATCACCGTCAGATTGACCAAAATTAGTAAGACTTTGATATAAGCGCAGATGGCGCATAAGTATGTTCGCTTCACATTTGTATTATTTCGCGACTGAGAGGCAACTTGAGTAAGGATGAGCTTAGAATCGTATAGTGTAATAAATATTGGCTGACTTCGAGGCATCTATATTGATATTTTCGTGAAAGAATTGTAGCACTGAAGAAGTAACCCACGCGTACAAATAAGTAGATAGATTAATCTGTATACTACTGTGGGCAAAAAGCAAGGTGAATTTGTTTGTTAAATTAAAAATATTTATTTATTCTTCTATATCGATTTCGTCGCCTTCAAAATAGTCCCCTGCCAATGCAATGCTCTTATGCCAACGTTTTTCCAATTATCGAAGCATGTCAAATAGTCACGTTCTGGTATGGTCTTCAGAAAGCGCGCCGATTCACGTTTAATCTCCTCAATCGACTCAAAACGGTGTCCTCGAAGTGTTGTCTTGAGTTTTTGGAAAAGCCAGAAGTCACTTGGTGCTAAGTCCGGCGAATACCTTGTTTGTGGAACGTATTTTTAGCGAAATAGTTAAGAAGAGTGAGTGTTGTGTGCGACGGTGCATTATCGCGATACAAAAACCATGAAATGTTGGCTCATAATTCTGGTTTTTTTGTTATTCGCATAATCTTTCAAAATCGTTTTCACAGATCCTTCTGATATTCCAACCATATCAGTAAGGTCTCTAACAGCCAATCGACGATTTTTGAGCACTAATTCCTTAATTTCATTGACGTGTTGCACATCAGTTGACGTTGATGCTCGTCCCGAGCGCTCCTTGTCATCAACACATTTCCGACCTCTTTGAATTCTTTGTATCACTTATACACGTTCTTCTATGGCATAGTTGAGTCCCCAAAAGCTTTTTGTAGGAACTCAAAGTTTCAGCAGCTGAATGAAATTTGATCGCACTTCTTTGCTCAATTAAATCAGACATTCTAAAAATCGCCGAAGTCACTTTTAGTCCTTCAAAATGATCCATCGGCCACGTACTTTCACGATCACTTTTGCAAATTCGTCATTTGACGTCAAAAGAATAATTGATTCACAAAGAATTTCCAATTATCCAAATCAATTATAGCGATCAGGAATGGTAGTATGAACGATTCAACCACGCTGCGGAAAACAAAGATGTTTATGATCTCAACCAGACTATTTAGGCAGGCATTGGAGGCGAGTCCGACACATAAAAGTCAAACTGATGCAGTTAATGATTCAACAAAGTTTTTTAATATTTTGGACTTAACGGAGATCAACTGCGCATATTGAATTTAAAAATCATCATAATGACGTAATATTAAACAACCGAAACTTTCATAGGTGAAGACGTCCTCATTCCTCGAATCGCTGTCATTCCGTCCGATACTCCCGTTCAATTCAAGCGACAGCAGTTCCATGTTCGACTGGTGCTTGCGATCACTATCAGTGGAGCCCAGGGTTAATCTATCGAGTAAATAATATTATGAAGAAGAAATATCCTATGTTTGATTTTTCATACATTCAATGAATATTTAGCCACAGCGAAGCGGAGCAGGATGCAAATACTCTGTTCGATGAGAAATGTCCTTAAAAATGTAAAATTTACAAACGCGCTAAGCTCAAACGCGATTCAGTAAAATTCAGTAACAATTCTTACTGCCCATCAACCACCAAACCAAACAGTAAACTTCCTCCTTTGTTAATTATTTGAAAAAGAAAAATTCAACATACAATACATACATATGCTCCCAATAAGAAAGGATTTTGCGGAAAGTGAACGTGGTACTGATCTATTCGAAAAATCGATTCTTTACCTGATTTGACCTAGTGAAGACTTCTGCTTCCAAGAAATGAACACAGGTCCCGGTATATTCAAAGAATTTGCAGATTCTCGTTTAAAATAAAGGGGTTTCTAATAAAAAGTGATATTCCGGTAAATGTTACTTTTGAAGCTGTATTTTTTTTACGTTTGAAAAGTAAAAGCTACGACAATAACATAAATGGCAGAATACACGATCTGATACAATGCCCTGAAGTTATTAAAAACTCACTATAAAAATGATGAATGCCAAAAAGCCAAAAACATTTTTCGGTCGTCGTGGAGCACCTTGTTGTACCGCAGTAAAAAAATTGGTGTAAAAAACAGAGCTGTTGAGACAAGTTGTGAAGATTTGAAGAATAAAACATGTGCACGCCACTCAAGAACAACTCAGAATATTGCTGCAGTAGTACACAGTATAGAAGAAACCCCCCAGAATTGACCACTCCTCGTCGTTCTTTGGAATTGGGCATTCCACAAATATCATTACACCGTATTTTGTATAAAGACTTGGATCTTAAGGCTTATTAAGTTCAGTTAACACAAGAACCAAGCTGGCTGATTATCAACAACGTCGAGCCTTTGCAGATGGGTTTCTCGAAATGCATGAAAATTATGCGGAGTTTCATCGAAAAATCAACTTGACTGATGAGACCTATTTTCACCTTAATGGCAAAGTCAAAAAGCAAAACTGTTGCATCTGGGGTTCGGAATACTCCTCTATCCTCAAAGAGTAACCGTTTGCCGCGGTGGAGTCATTGTACTTTACTTTTTCGAAAATGAAGCTGGAGCAACAGTTATGGTGAATGGATTGCTGTATCGAGAGATGATTAATTATTTTTCATGGCATTGTTTTGTATTGATCTTGAGAACGTTTACTTTCAACAAGACAACGCTACGTGCCAAACACACAACGAAACCATCGATCTTCTAAAGGAAAAGATCCGGACGGTGTTGTCTCTCGAAGAGGTGATCGTAATTGACCACCGGTATCTTCTGATGTAACACCTTACGACTTTTTTCTTTGGGGTCACGGGAAAAAAGAAGGTATAGGCCAAAAGGCCAACGTCAATTCAAGATCTCAAAAATGGAATGGTATTAAAGGCATCGGACACTTTGCGATTTGGTAATGGGAAATTTAAAAAAAGGAAACGTTCCTGGCTGATGTTGTTTTCCATTATTAATGATATATCTTCTTATCCGATCATTTATCTCAAATATTGCCATTTTTCTTTGAATATCAAAACAACACCTTTCATTGGGAAACCCCATATAATAAAACGTAGGTATAGGTCTTCCTCTATCTTAGAGCTCATTGACCTTAAATGCAAATAAAAGTAATTAGTTTATGGTAAGGCAAAAAATTGCTGAATTATTATTATTTATTCTTAGTTTTACACATTCGTATATACTGTAATTTTGATGTTAGTAAGCACTGGAATGTACATATGTATTTACGAATATTTTATATAAAACGATTATTAAGAAAGCTTGTTTGTAGTTTAGCAATTATCTGTGTTGCTTAAAAATTCACCGTAATACATGCATACATATGTACATATCTAAATGTTTTCATTTGTTGAAGCACAAAATTTACAAATCTACCTTTATGAAAATTTTCTTAATATTTTTTTAAATTATTTGGGCTTGGCATACATTTTTAGTTTGTAGAGTAGAGTACGTGTCATGTGTTCATAGAATTTAATAACGCTCGGTGACAAGGAGATCTAAGGTGTGTAAAAATAAAGCGAACACATCGCACAAAAAAAATAGCCTGAAATTAAAAAAAAAATAGATAAATACGTGCAAAATTGATATAAAAACCTATTGCAGGTTCTTTCCCCAAATAACATTCTACAGTTGATAATCTTTACCAAAACTAATAGCCTTTTTTTCAAGAATATAAAAAACTTGGCAATTTATGTTGATTTTGGTGATGTCAAAGTAACTGGAGACACATTCACTTCACTTGAAGAAACAAATGCATGAAGTTTAAACCGCCTGAGTGCTTCCCAAAATAAAAGTCACTTTCATAAGGTAATTATTGAGGAAAAAATTAAACAAAAAAGCATTTGACAACAAACGGTGTCCTTAATCAAATCCTAAAATCGCATGACATAAAACAAGTAACAAAAAACATCCCACAACATAAAATTCGTATAAGCAATAACTAAGATAGATAAAAATAGATTTTGTCCAATATCTAATATACAATAGGTTGGTAGGAGTTTTACAAATATATTCCAATAACACGAGCCAACATTTTCAATATTTATGTGTACACGGTGTGTCCCAAAAATAACCGAACTTTATATTTAAACCATACAACATACAGCGCCATCTATTGAAAATTTGCAACATTAGAAAGATACATTCACCCTCTTTCAAACGCACCTAACATCTTCTAAGTCGGATGACAGGTGTAAAAGTGACAGCCATTTCAATGAAACCAAAAATGTGCTAATGGTTCAAAAATAAAATGGAACAAAGAGCAAATATAAAATTTTATGTCAAACTTGAAAAAAAAATTAATGAAAAAAGTTTATTGTGATGATTGTATGAGTCGTACGCAAGTTTATACGTGGTTTACACGATTTAAAAATAATCGTGATGCTCTAAATGACGACCCTAGAGCAGGACGTCCAGAAAATAGTTATCGTGCTGAACTGGGGAAAAAGACCGTGAAATCATTGGTATCGGTGTAAATTTTACTACGAGAATGTTGGCTGAGGAATTGAGTACAAGTAAAAACACTATTTGGAGAATTTTAACTGAAGATTTGGGGAAAAGAAAGGTCTGTGCGCGATTTGTTCCATATGAATTAAATGACGACCAAAAAATCGCTCGAATTTTTAATGAAAAAAGGGATTTCTCTCGTCGACCATCCTCCGTATTCGCCTGATCCATCACCATGTGACTATTTCTTATTTCCAAAACTGAAAACCAAGATGAAGGGAGCATTTTATGATGATATCCCAGTTATTCAAGCAGCCGTAACCGGAAACTGAGGAACAATTCTATAAATGACATAAAAGAATCTATGCATGCGCTGGTTGATCGTTCCAAACGTTGTGTTGAGTCAAATGGAACCTATTTTGTATAAATAATAACTTTCAAAGATAATATAATGTGTATTTTATTTTATATCCAAAAAGTTCGGTTATTTTTGGGACACACCGTGATATGTACATACATACGTATGTATGCCATGTATTGCTAATATAGCTATAATTATTATTATTGCACAATAACTACTATTACATACTATAACTATCACAAAGGTAACTGTATACCGAAATAAGTCATTTTCATTTCGTTTTGGGCGTAATCGGCCGGAAAATCATAAAATAAAATTTAAAATAAATAACAAAAATTTTTTTGCAGAGTCGTCAAAAGCGATTAGTCATTCCGGCTCTTCAAGCGCAAGCCATATAAATATACATATGTATATTTATATAATTGGCGCTTTGCGATTTTTTCGGCCGAGCTACTCCTCCAATTTTTGGTGCTGCGCCTTGATATTTTTCCAACAAATGGAGGGACCTACATTTTATAGTAAGCCACTTTCGAACGTCTGATGGTGTTTTTATGAGAAGCTTTATTTCATGTCCGAAATATACTCAAATGGGTTGACATTCACTGCCGAGTGGCGACCGCAATTAGAAAATTTAGCTTAACTTTTTATTTAAATTAATTTTCAATAACTTATGGATGTTGGTCGCACGAGCCGTACGCATTGCCAACCACTCTGATACCGTGGCCGCGAGTCTACTTGCTGGAAAAAAGTCAGCTTTAAATTCATAGACCCATGAACGCAGTCTTTTTTCAGCAATATTTACATCGTTATGCTTTAATGGTGTTTAATGGTGGTAGTTATTTTGAATAAATGGTTTATATAATACAATAAACCAATTTAAGGTAAGGAGATTTTGTTTTTTTTTTCACGAAGAAAGAGACTCTAAAAGCTTCACCCTAATTTCACCACTATTTCGCCATTGAATAAAATGCACCTTATGAAATTTTAATAATAGGTCATTTACATTTTTATGAACTATTTTTATTAAATGAAAACATTTCTTTTAATTTTTTTTTTTTTCATTTTCGACATTTCCAATCTTAAAGTCCTTTCAAGCATAAAAAGATGTAGTGCTATATGTCTTGGTTTTTTTTCTTCGAAAAAGATTTCTTTAAGAGTTGTTTTCAGAAATATTTTACATATACATACGTTTGTATGGGTATATCTACATATTTATATGACAAAAAATTGTTCAAATGTCCCCTTATGGCTACATAAGCAATTGCGTATTTTTCCTTTTTTTTCAAAAATCAAACCGTAAACATCACAGTGCCTTCATAGTGGACTTTGCGAAAAATGAAAGGCAAAAAATTTTATATTTACATAAACAGGCCAAATCATATGCAGGAATTGGTGAAATGATGGACAGAAGCCGCTACACCATAAGAAACATTGTAAAACGATTTGATGGAGTTTCATCTTTACAAAACGCAACACGTACCGGCAGGCCTAAGGCTTTAAGTAAACGCGAACGCTGCCAAATAGTAAGAAAGGCAAAAAGAAATCCAAGATTATCTTCAACTCAAATCGCAGCGGAAGTTAAGGAAGAGTTGGAAAAGGATATTCATCCGTCATCATTCATTATATTAAATCTGATCGACGTCAAACTGTGTGGACTGTGTGGAGAAAAGCCAACACTGAACTTCAAAAAGAGAACCTTTCTGCGACTATCGTATAAGGCATGGTGGTGGAGGAGTCATTGTATGGTGCTGCATGTTCGCCGCAGGCGTAGGCGAACTGGAATTCATTGACGGCAATATGGACAAAAAATACTGTATGGGAATTCTTAAGAGGAATGCCGAAAAAAAGTAGCGAAAACTTTAAATTGCTAGAGTAATTTACATTGCAGCACGACAATGATGCGAAGCATACCGCTCATGATGTGCGTACACACGTGGATGGTACACTACATGAGACATACACCGACGCATCCGCCTTAGTCAGCTGATCTATACCCATTTGAACATTTGTGAGAAGAGCTGGTTAGGCGCGTTTAAAAGCTCGTTGTACCAACAAAAGAAGATTTGAAGCTGCCACTGGTGGATGAAAGGCAGAATATTGGCGCAGAAACCACACAAAAATTGGTCTCATCGATTCAAGAGCATTTGCAAGCTGTCATCAAATATAAACGCTTGGCTACAAAATGTCAATTTCGTTAATATTTTACCATTTTATTATATTTTTTTTTACTTTTATAAAGTGTGCCAATACTTTTATTTGGTAAAAATTAGTATTTTTTATTTATTTATTGTTAGTATTAATTTGACATAAGAGATAATGAAAATGAATTGAAGCGAAAATAGTTAAAATGTGTCCCTCTGCCTAGCTTTTTTTCGGAATTAAAAATATATTCATAAGTGATCAAAAAAAAGTGTTCAAGTTGTTGTCTTGTTGTGCCAATACTTTAGTTCATCACTGTATATCAATATTTCGTTTATGATACAATAAAAGAAGGTAGTTTCATCCAATATAAAATTGACAGAAAAAAATATTTTGACATTATCAGGCCTATTCTAATTGTTACCGGTAAAGTAAACTTTGTTACTTTTTTTTAACGTCCGAAATTGAATTTGGTATTCTGGCGAATTGGTTACAATGTTTGAAAAAACTTTGGCAGCACTGTTATTTTCGTCCTTGCCAAATTACGTTTGCCAGTTGGTTAAGTAAAAAGAAGATTATTCAAACATATATACGTGTATGTATATATTTGCATTTAGACCATTGTTTCCAACGAATTCTTGATACGACCCGTGGGAAAGAAATCTCAAATAAAACGGCAATGATGTCTTCTGTCCAAAAAAATTTGTAATTTAAAAATTACATATGAACATGAACATGTACTCCCATGTCGTATGGTGCCAATTCGCTTATAAGCTCTAAACAAATTGTTTTGTTCAGGCGAAAATACTGAATGACAAACTAAAATGGTAATTTTTTTTCGCAAATTTCTTAACATGCGCCTTCTCGCACTTTTTTCCTCATCTTCAATGAATTCCAGGCCTAAAATATGCCTACCCATTTTGGTTTTTATTTCTTTTTCTTAAATTAACAAAAAATCAAACAGTAAATTTTTTGTTACCTCCTATTTCGCTGGTAACAAAATTAACAGGGTGACACTGGACGCAGAATACGAAATGGTAACAAAATTTACTGAATGGAAAATTTTAATACCTAGGTAAATTTTGTTACCTCGACAGAATAGGCGTGTACATCTTATTTTCATTTTAACTTCAAGATATTGGCACTTTAAAAATATGTCATATTTTTTTTTAGAAAAAAAAACCACTAGAAAATAATTTTATTTCACAAAGTACTCTCCAAGCCTATGGTTTTTTTGTGAGTACGTTTTATTTATCTAAATTTTTTTGTTTACATAATAAGGTTTTGCATTTTTTGTAATATATTTTTATAAGTCTAAAAAGTTGAAAATTTATTTTTCAAAATAAGAGATTAGTTGCACAAAAATAAAGCAATATTCAAAAAATCTTTTTTTAATATTTTTGAAAAAAAAAAATTCTGAGTGAAACTACCTTGTTTTATGTATCATGGTTTCATTCAAACAAAAGCCGTATTTTAAGAAGTTTTCGAGACTAAAAAATAGCCCTTTAATTTGTAAGATAACGTTTTCATTCAGCTTTTTTTTGTTGTCCAGGCACAATTTCCATAATTAGATTCAAATATTTATGATTTAATAAACAAATTAATAAATTTTTTTAAATTTTTTTTGCACCGTCTTTCATTTCGATGTGAATATTATGTAATTTGACATGGACGAAAAAAGCAGTGCTGCCAAATTTTTTTCAAACATTGTAACCAGTTCGCCAGAATACCAAGTTCAATTTCGGGTGTTAAAGAAAAGTAGCAAAATTTACTTTGAGAGAATAGTCCAGTTAGTAATACAATAATACCCACTGTCTTTAACTGTTTCCTTTATAGCATTTTGTTTTCTATCTTTTGAAACATTTTTCACGAACTTTAAGTTTAATTTTAAGTAAATATTTTAGAAAATCTTAATCTCAATTCATTTACCTCTGGTGTGCTGCCCTTACAGACTGACTTTCGTATATCCTGTAGATATTTTTCGGGCACCGACAGGCCGTACTGAGTGTACAGCTTTTGGAGGTATCCACATTTCTTGGAAGGCAGACAGCGGCCAAGTGTATTATAAGGCGTCAAACAGGAATAATAAAATTCTGATGTTATTTATTTGATTTTATAATTTTTTGTGTGTGTTGATGATTGTTTACGAATAAATTAATGGCGACAGGTTTTTTTCAAGTGCCGGTTTGCGTGGGTCGAATTGAGCGTGAAAGTAAAAGAGAAATTCGTTAGATGCAATGTTTACTTACGAGTTTTTCATGTACTACCAATGTAATGCATTTATTTTATTTTTTTTTTTAATATAATTTGAATGCAACTAATTGTAATTTACTAAGAAATATTTATTTATTTATTTGATTGTTTCGACAACTTACGTCCGAGCACTGCCTGCAGCGATGTGCCGATTAATAACAGCCAAAAAACTTGGTTGTACTGCATTTCTGTTTATTTTATTTGTTTATTTAATCTCTTTTTTTATTTCACTTATACAATTTCTTTGAAATGCTTGCAATTTATCAGCAGATTAGTGCATATACTATATGTGTATATATGTGTGTATGAGGAAGTTTAATTCTTGTTAATGTAACGTGAATACACACTCAAGGGGAATTTTATCACCGTAAGTTTTTGTTAAATTTACACAGCCTTATACATACGTACATTCATTTACAGACACATATAATTCCCATTGAAATACTTGTTAATTTTTCATATTTGCCTATCGCTTTTGTTTTTTTTTTCTTATTTCATTGATCATTAGCCAAAGACATTCGACAATTCAACGTTTCAATGCAATGTTTTAAGTTGAGTTTCTCGCTGGCATGTAGCATGCGTTGGCACGTCGCGACTACTTGGAGTTCCAATGAGAACTAAGCTTAGTGGCAATGCTAATTTAAACTAACCAGCTATAGCGGCTTTAGCTGCGGCCTCCGCTGCATTAAGCGTTGCTTGGACCGGCTTTGCGTGTGAGAGCCCCTTTTGCTCAAGCTTTATCATTCACCACATATTGAGCCAGAAGCAAGCCGCATCGCTGCTGCTAGCTGAATTATGTTTATGCTCAATTTTGTAAAATTGTCGGTCGCCGCTAGCGATTGCAGTATTTTTTGCAATGAGCAGTGTTGGAAAGCGGTGCAGAAAAAAATTATCACTTAGTTGATCGGAATAAATCTCCCCAAATAAACAATTAAAGTCCAATATGCGTTCAGTACTCGCACGACACGGCCACAATAGTCGAGTAATTAGCATTGTGTACTGCCATTCGGAACACCTGGGCTCTAGTGCCGGTCCCAGCAATATCCAATAATTATAGAAAATGAATTTAAATATAAAAAGAAGTTATTTTTTTTATTTGTGGCAATGTATTTCTGACATTAACGAAAAACTCCAGTGGCCATTCAGAGGCAGCTCAACATAAATTGTAGTTCTTCCCATTTGTTGAAAAAAAAAACCATCAAAACGCTCACCCCAAATCGTAGGAAGAGCTTGGCCGACATTTGGCTGCAGCGGTTACAAGGCGCCCGTAATATACAAACGACACTAACCACATTTTTATCTTAATATCATATTTGATCTTACACCCCCAAAAAAATAATCTTTACGTCGCCTGATTATAATTTATATTTTCCCATGTTTTACCATATCAATATTATTCACTTGTGTGATCCGTGGTATAAGAATCCTTTCTTGGTTTAGATTAGCTGCAATCATTTTAATTTTGTAATTACTTCAAATATTCATCAAAACGTGTAATCACCCCTACAGCTGGATAAACATTAATGGATCCAAGGCCCAGTATCCACCATCTTGTTCACGACAACAAAACCAAATATTTGTTCGTCTACGCTTGGATCACACCAAACTTAACCACAAACACCTGGTATGCGGTACTTCACCACCCACCTGTCAATTTTGCGATGGCCCGTCATTCAACGAAAACCTTCCTAACTACTGCCCCAGACTAAAAACCATCCGCATCAAAGTCAACAATCAACCCCTACCGATCTCTTAAGCGGCGCACCTAGTGTGAAATTTCAAAAAAATCTTTTTTGTTCATATCATTTCGGTAGATTACATTTAAAAATAACATATTAAAATTTCAAAATATCTCAAATAGTTTTTGAGTTAGAGCAATTCGAAAAGCTGCCGCTCGGCAGTTAGAGAGTCTCATTAGCTGCGAGTGAAAACAATCATTTTATCTTTAAACGCGTTTTTCTCGAAACAGCACTTTCCGAATTTGCTGCAGTGATTACTCAAAAACAAATGATCCGATCACTATCGAATTTTTTTACATATTCTATAAATAGTTCTCCGTAAAATGACCTATCGATTTTTGATCTGTTAAAAAAATCGAGTTTTGGCAGGCCAAAAACGACCAAAATTTAGGGTAAAATTTGACTATTTTTTCTTTTGAAAACGCCGCCATATTGTCAATTTTTGATTTTTTTTTGTCGTAGGTCATTGTACAGACAATATTACCTAGTTTAATGAGATTTTTTTTTAGATTTCATCCACGGCGAAGGCCGGAATCACTGCAGCAGTGAAGGACCTTTTTTTCGTGCCGTTGGAGATCGACTCTAACTTAAAAAATATTTAATTTTTTTCTTCAAAAATTTCACTGTATATTCTTGAAACACGTAGAAATATATTCTTAAAATTTTGAAATAATTGATAAAGTATTTTTTTTAATAAAAATTCCCACAGAGCTGAAAGCCTTGGCAGCTAGTACGCTTCTTTGACTTAATTATAAGATTTAACATTTTTTAATTAATTATAATAAATAAATAAAAATATTTTTTTTAATTAAGATTGTGACTTAAATTGAGTTTAGCGAGCTGAGCTTATTTCAAAGACTTTCAACACTGTCACGATACCCAATTACGCTCAAATATTAAACTTGTTTGTGCATTCTCTCATTGCACTTTAAGATGATAACTCGTAAGTTTATATTCATATGTATGTATATGTAAATATATATACATTATGTAGAAATTTGTCATTATTTGTGTGAATGAAAGCGTAAAAAGTTGGAAAGATGCCTACAAACAAATAAAAGTTGCTTAGGGGATTTACCTTTGGCATACAAAATCACATACATACATATATACGTAATATAAAATTTATACATACGTGTAAATGAATTTAGAGGATGCGCCGTCAATTAACGACGGAGACCCCCACATCACCGTTGACAAGCACAACTTCAAAGTTACGAGCAACATCGAGAAGCGTGTGGACTTTTCATATTTGTTATTCTATAAATATATATATATATACATTAATATATTATTTGGGCGCAAAGTAGCGGAGGTACAACACTTCGGAAGGCCAAGGTTCGAGTTCCGTTCCGACTAACATCCAAAATAATGGAAAATGAGTTTTTATAATTTCGGTCGCCCCTCGACAGGCAATGTTAAGCCCTCCGATTTTATTTCTGATCTGAAAAATCCATCGGCATCAGACGCACCATATATAGCGCCAACTATATATTTATTAAATTTTATTATGTAAAGTAATTTTTGTAGTAACTTAACTAAGAGAATTATTGCAATCTTGTGACAGACAACCTTTTCGTAATGTTAATAATTTTTGATCGTTACACATACTTAAAGCTTTATGAAATATGAACATTATTTATGTTCCTTACAGTTTACTTAAGATCTTCATCTCGGGAAAAAAATGCAATTAAATTTCAAACATTTTCTCGCGATTACTTTAACAGCATGAACCTAATTTAATTTTTTGGCAATGAAACTTCATCAAGAATCAGTGCTTAGCGATGGTATGGTGAATTCAATCCAGGTAGTAGATCAATCCAAGACAAATTTCGTGAAGGTCTTTCAAAATCAATTTTTTCAGAAAATGTTGATCTTGTACACAAACTGATAATGCAAGATCATCATGTCATCGTTGTGACATTGAGGCAACTATAGACATTAGGGCCTACATACATTCAATACTGCATGAGTATTTGACTGTAAAAAATTTGTTGACGTTGGATCCCACACAATTTTTCGACAGCTCAGAAAAAGCTCGTGTCAATTGGTCGAGGGAAATATTTAAAAAAAAATACGTCTATAAACCGGTACAGTATACGAATCGTAAAACTCTACGTATAAGTAAACAGCAGTCGACTGTATGGTTGTTTAGAGATGAGCCAAACCCAACAAAAGTTGTTCGCGTACGAAGGACTTCCAAGCAAATGGTTGCCATTTTTTTTTTTTTTAGAAAAACTGCACATGTCACAACCGTACCACTAGAATAACTCAAAACAGCAAATTCTGAGTGATACACAACAATTTGCTAGCCAGTTTTCTTTAAAGAAATCAGGAAACCCAGCTGCCGTAGACGGATCACCATAACAATGCTAGCTCTCCAAAATTAACTAAAGCAACAGCATTTCTGATAACTCAAAACATTGATTTCATGACTCATCCATCGTATAGTCCTGACTTGGCTCCAAACGATTTCTGTTTATGCCCTTACTTAAAAAAGAAACTGAAAGGTCATCGTGTTTCGACACCTGTAAAGGCGGTTGTCACGTTCAGAATGCATGTTTTCGACATACCTCAATCAAGTGCTCCGAATATTGGCTCAAGCACATGCACATTTGCATAGCTCAACATGAAGCGTTTTTCGCTGATTAAAATTTGTTTCTGTGCTCTTATCACGAAATATAAAAGCCAACAATCGTGCCACTACTTTATTAGCTCATGGACTTATGGTCTTGCTAGCTACGTTATATCTGACGTTAAGCAACACTAAAAACTCCGTCAGGATCGGAAAGGACCTATCCGAGCCGTTTGATACCAAACGAGGTTTCAGACAAGGTGTTTTCCGTATCGTGTGACTCCTCTAATTTATTGCTGGAGAAAATCATAAGAGTTGCAGAGCTGAATAGAGAAGGTACTCTATAAGAGTGTACAGCTGCTGGCGTACACCGATAATATTAATATTATAGGCCGCAACAGCCGCGCCGTGAATTCTGCTTTCTCCCGACTGCATAAGGGAGCGAAGGATATGGGTCTGGCAGTGAACGAGGACAAGACGAAATATCTCCTGTCATCACACAAACAGTTATCGCATTCGTGACTTGGCTCCCATGTCACTGTTTGCAGTCATCACTTTGAGGTCGTAGATAATTTCGTCTATCTAGAGACCAGCTTCAACACGCAGAGCCACTCTTACCAATAGATGCTCCTCTGATTGAGCAGGCGATTGAAAGTAAAGTCCCTCTCCTCGATGAACAAATACCAAACTCTACTAGTCCGTTATTCTTCCTGCTATATGGTGCGGAAGCGAGGACGATGACAATATCTGATGTTACAGCGTTAAGAGTTTTTGACAGAAAGATTTTGCGTTAGATTTATGGTCCTTTACGCGTTGGCATTAGCGAAAGTAGCAGACAATTAAACGATGGTAGAGGAAGACCTGGGTGTACTTGGTATTTCCAATTGGCCTCGAAGGGCGAAAAGATGAAACGAATAAATTAATAAATTTGGGTTTTCAGCTCACAAGATTTCGCTATAAAATTTTTTTCATTCTACTTTTATTCGCCACTTGAATGAAAGCAATATAAGGAAGACGATGATGACAAATTAATCATACACTTTTTGTTTGTACTTTGTATATACGAGTACATTTACGATATACCTTTAAATATTTATGTTGCATACATGGGGGGACGAACCAAAGTTCGTTATGTGCACCAGAAAAAAATTCTTTTTGTAATATTTATTCGTAATCTCTGTCCTTTTTCATCTTCTCTACATTATCGCCATTGATTTCAATGTATTTCTTAAGCCTATAGATCCACTTCTGAAAACTGTCTACAAAATCTTGCCACGATTTTACATCGGATGATATAAACTGACATCATTCCTTTGCTGCTGATTTTTGT